GAAAATTTTCCATTTCGAGCACTGACTAATAATTATATATGTATAATGTGCATATACGTCAGTTATTACAATTTATTTATAAAAAAAAATTTTTAATCGAAAAAAACTTCATTGAATCAGATAATTCAAGAGTTTAACAATTTAATGTAATTTTGAACTGTCCCCCACGAGAGAATCAATATCAGGATTAAAAATGAAAAGCCTTAAATCACTCAAAATTTAATTTATTCCAACATTTATTTTTAAAAAAATTAAAGTAGAAAAAGTTCGTTCACACAGATACACAGGTTGTCGAAATATAGCCCATCAAGTTTCTAAGTGAAAACATAGAAATTGCTGGAAATTCTTGCCAAATATTTAACTAGAATGGTAATAATGATGTAGTTTTAAAAAACGATTTTAGAGTTTGATCACATGAAAGTTCAATCAACGAATCTTTTTCACTAGCTGATATTTAATTAAATATTACAAGATTATATCTCAGGAATTTATTTATGCTTTAACATTTTAAGAATAAAAACATAATTAATAATGTTTGTTTCATCCGATAATTTTAATTTTATAATGAGGGTTCCGGTTCTTTGAATATGTGAAAATTCGGATCCGGTTCCCAATATTTTAAGGGTTCTTGGGTTCCAGAACCGGTTCTTTTGGGTTCGATTCCAGCCCTTGCATTAAAGTATAGTTTACATATAAATAGTATGTATACATCAATCTTATAGTAGTGAGGGGATGGGGCGTGAACTCATAAAACAATGTTAAAGGGCGCGCGGACCTCAAAAGTTTGAGAGCCCATGGGCTAGATAAATATTTTAGGTAATATATTTTACTAATTAAGCCACATAAGTCATCATACTTCCATCTTAAGAACACATTTTACAAAAATGATTAATAATCATATGAAGGTTAACATTTTTAACAATCTATAATATAAAAATGAATCGCAAAATGTGTTGGTAAGCGCATAACTCAACAACGCCTGGACCAATTTGGCCAAATCTTTTTTTCAAATGTTCGTTGAAGTTCAAGGATGGTTTTTACGGCGAGAAAAATTAGAATTATTGCTGGGAAAACCCTAAAAATAGCCCTTTTCTTTTTCTAATACAAATGATTTGTAACTAAAACGTAGTCAATTTGAGCTTTATTGCTATGGTATAAAGTTCATATTAAACTAGCTGGTTTACCCGGCTTCACCCAGGAGGTATTCAACTATTATATATAAAAAAAATGAGAATGAAAAAAATACTATTTTCTTATATTATACCTTTTTTATTTATATTGGCTTCGCAACTTCTTATCCAATTCTCATACAGTTTTTTTTAAATGAAAGAGGATATCACGGTAATAGGCATAAATAAAGTCCGATAATGTTAGTCAATAATTAGTTATCTATACATATAATCCAAATACCACTGACTCACTGATCGCTATATCTCAAAAATTACGTGTTTGGGATGAATGCACGATGGCACATAAAAAATCTTTGGAGGCTTTGGACAGAACCTTAAAAGATCTACGGAGCAATAATAACCGATTTGGTGGTGCAATGATTTTATTAGCAGGAGATTTTCGTCAAACATTGCCGGTGATTCCACGATCAATGCCAGCTGATGAACTCAATGCATGTCTAAAGTCCTCCAGTTTGTGGAAACATGTCAAAGTACTTCATTTAAGCAAGAATATGCGTGTCGAGTTGCAAAATGACCAATCTGGAAACATATTCTCTAAACAACTCATTGACATTGGTAATGGCAAATTTCCTATAGACATGTTGACTGGCTGCATTAACTTTCCTCAAAGTTTTTGTCAGTTAACTCGATCAAAAGATGAACTTATTCAGAAGGTGTTTCCAGATGTTTCTCAAAATTACAGAAACCATGATTGGTTAGGTTGCGAAATATCAACCAACCGCGTCTTTGCAACGGTACACGGTTAGCGATAAAAAAATTACTAAACAATGTGATAGAAGCAACTATACTTAAAGGAAAGTATAAAGGAGAAGAAGATGTTCTCATACCGCGCATCCCAATGATTCCGACTGATGTGCCATTTGAGTTTAAACGACTACAGTTTCCAGTGCGTCTTGCTTTTGCTATGACTATAAACAAGTCCCAGGGGCAATCATTAAGTGTTTGTGGTATTAATCTAGAAAACCCATGTTTCTCACATGGTCAATTGTATGTTGCCTGTTCCCGTGTTGGAAAACCATCAGATTTGTTTATCTATGCGCCAGGTAATCAAACAAAAAACATCGTATACCACAAAGCACTACAATGATAATAATAATAATTATGATTCACATGATTAACAATAAAGCGATTACTTACTTTTAAATCCTTATATATGTTTTATTTAATTATTTTTTATTCACAACGCCCTATCACCAGGGTGACGGTTCTGTTCAGGAGAATTTTTTAAAATACGTAGGCACAAAAACTGCCACATTACAAATCTTTTTGACAGGACGAAGTCTGTCGGGTCAGCTAGTGATCTATAATAATGTAACTCATTATAAGTTGGATAAATCCCTCCAATTCATAAGTACATTTTCCTCCTTTTAAGAAAATGTATTGTATACCACTGACGTTAACAAAATAGTGCGTTTTTATAAGCTCAATAAGTAAATTAGTTGTAACTAAATAGTGAGATAACTAAATTGGCCACCATTTATCGATAGTTCGTCACTGGGCGGCAAAAAGACGTTTCGAACATTTAATGCGGTCGTTGCGATGTAGACTAGATATGGAAAATAATTGCAATGTCTTGATTTGATAATATATTAAGGAAGTAGAAGGAAGTAGAAAAAATATACAAGTGGAACGACCGTTATCCTGGGTTGGATTACGTTTTTTATAACTTAAAAAAACGGACGCATCAATAAATAATAATAAACTGTATCCGCAGAACACGCACGTTCGGCTGTTGAATTCATGTACAGTTAAAGGGTCGAAGCGAGCATTTTAATTTTCGTACTACGAAGTGCGTTACATAATTTTAGTTATATTTGTAACGATTACGAATCGGACAACGGAAAGCTTGTAAAATACAACCGCGTAAGATTGTTCTTAAAATAAATGGGAATTAATTTTTATATTTTCTACGAAATGTATTGAAAAAGATCATGGCTTTTAGCTCTTAGGTCTAGATTAAAATATCTGGTAGGGCCAGTTCTCTCGAACCCTTCATTGTTCGTGTCAAAGCAGATGTGATTCGTTAAAAAAATATTCTGTAATTATTGAATCGGTAATACCAACTTAATAGTTACGTATTGTTCATTCCAAGAAATAGAAAGAAAAATGTCGTTTATTTTATCGAATAAATTTAAAAGTCGCAGACGTGTTCCTAAAGACAATACGTAAAAACCATTGTTGATGATATAGCTAATTTATATCTGCCTATTTCAGGGACGGACATATATAATTTCAATTAAATACAGTTGTATATCACTTGCAGTGGCCAGTGCTCCCTATGGTAAACGCTACAAATGAATTATTCATTGCCGTCCATCACTTAATTCTAAAGGAAACTGCAATTAAATAAATAAATAAATAAAAATATTATTAAATACTTATTGCGCACTTTAATATAGTGTAATTAAAACTCATGATATTTTAACTAGTATTATTCCTGTCTCTATAGCGACTATGTAGAATTTTGTAACTAACATAAAATCTAAAGTGTACAGTGTCCAATGAATTGTATTGAAATAGTGGGATTATTGTAAAACATGTTACTAGTAAAACTAACACTCATAAATAAATATTCAAACATACCACTGTATCTGTTCTATATATACATTATTAATATAAAATTAGTATTATTATTAATAGATATATATTTGGATGAAAATATATGGTTAGGTTAGGTGTATTACTACAATTACTACGAGTTAACTATAACTATATTAACTATATTTATAGTAATCCAGTTATACATTAAAATAAGCATAAAAAGGATGAAAATAAACATACTGTGGCTCCATTAGTAACTTATGTACAATGAAAATATCATTCTTAATTATGGACTGTTACAAAATTAACTTCATATTTTATAATAAAAAGTATTTTTTCATACAACATGTGAGATGTATATTAATTGAATAAATGTGTTAATTGTAGATTAAAAATAAATAATAACTCATTGATACTAAGATTTAAGCTTATTTATTTTTATAAACAGTATATTTTATATTGTACGAAAAAATCAAAATATTAAACCACTCTGATGAACTATATAGTAATCTTTAATTTTATCATACCACGGAAAATTATGATGATTTAATAAACACAATTTAGAGCATACATTTCAAATTAGAATATTTTAAAAACTATTTATGATTTTTGGGTTTTCAATTTTAATACTTCAAAATGTAAGTATAATTTGTTAGTTATTTTAATGTATACAAATAAATTAATTGATTGATACTTTCCAAAAATTTAAAATTATCAAAATTGTACTTATTTTTAAAAATATAAAGTACATTAAATATTTGATGCATAAGTAATACCATGTACAATGTTGTTAAAGTGCAAACAAAAACCATTAAAAACTTAATAGAATTAAAATAGATTATTTATACATTTAAAATAAACGAATAAAAAAAATCTAAAATTAATTATACATTCTTTAATACCTCATTTATTTTAATTTTACATAGTAAATAAAATACGTTTCTTTTAAACCATTATTTTTTTATTTTTTAATGTGAAATTAGTAATTTATTTAATATAATTTGTAAAAATCAGGTCAATTATTATACCTATATTTCATAAATATTTGATACTAAAAATACTAAAAATGTATCTACTGGGTGAATAATTGAAAACAAAATATATACATTTTTAATACTATTCATTTCTAATAACACTAAATCGTATTTTATTTAGTATTTTACGATTATTTTTAACATTTTATTAGTAAAAATATTTAACTAACTAGTGAAGTAACAATTATATGCAGAAGGAATGTCAATAAAATATGAAATAAAAAAAAAAAAAAAATAATCTAAAAGAGAATCAGTCTATACAAAAATATATTAATTTTTACATATATGAAATGTTTTCATATTTATCCTCATATAAATACTAGTGTAACAGTAAAACAATGTTAAAATAATATTTTAATTTAATATGAACATCATGATGAATCACCATGAATATTGAACAGTTTAGCTACTTCATTGAGATCTTTGTAGCATCTATCTGATTTAAGCACTTGGCGTGCTATAGACATTCTATTAAACAAATTCCATAACACAATGCCAACAACTACATCGTTTTTCAAATAAAACACAACTCCTTTATTATAATTATTTTCAAAAATATTTTTGGATTCCAATTCAGCAGGTGTATCTGTATCATTTATTGTGGTATTCTCGTCAGTTTTATTCGTCGATAGTGATGTATCTTTAGGATTTCCTTTGGCAAATACACCCACTGTATTTAAAGAAGAATCGACGATTCCAATTGCTTCATAACCAACTGATGGTCCAATATCAGACCAAAACATTGGCTGATGTTTATATTGTTTAGCTATAAATTGAGTAAAACAAAATTAATTCAAAATTAAAGTTAATAACATATATTAAAACATAAGCAAGTATAAATTATAATCAATATGGTTAATATTGATATTAATTACATAACATTTATATTAAATTTAAATATATATTTATAAATATTAGTCAGTAATGTAAATCAAGAGTCCAGAACCTTTTTATTTACATGGCCATTTTTTTAGCTTTTCATTAAGAGCTACATTAAAAATTAAAATAACTGCTATTAAAAATACAATTTTAACATCTAATACTGACATTAATGTTGATATCAACAATTTAATATTTTTTAGGGTTTGTGGTATAAAATTAGAATTTTAAATACCATTAATTAAAATATTAAAGTATTAGTAAGAGAACTCAGAATACAATGTGTATTTTCTCTTGCTTTATAATTATAAATTATGAAATCTTTTAGCCTAACCTAAATCCATAACCTTATATATAGTGGTTATAGTTGTACACAATCATAATTTAGGTAAATTAATTATAATAAGCTCAAAATTATTGATTTAAAATACTTTAAAATAGGTAAATAATATAGAATGTTAAAAATTAAGTATACCAGAGTTCAATTATTATTCTGTCTAGTATGTATTAAATCATGAGAAAATTATGGCAACTACCTATAAAATGTGTAATGAAAATAAATAAATAAATAATGAAAAATAAATAATCCATTGTGAGGCTACATCTTATGGAATTTCAGGATCATAAGACTAAGATATATATTTATTTAAATGTAATTAAAAAATAATAGATTTAAATGAAAAAAAAAATATATAAAATATGCAATGTAAAATATCATAGCATAAACAATTGTAAATATTGAATTGCTCTACTAATATTATGTTAATAATGAATGCAAAAACTAGTGCGAAACATAATTTATAATTTTGTAACCGAATTTATATATTTTATTAAATTTCAACATTATCAAGTAATGATAGACATTAAATTAATGTTATGGAATACTTACTAAATTACATCATTGAAGCTAACATACATATATATTAGGGTGACCCTTATTTATGAACTTTCAAATTTTTGATTTTTAACCTCCTCATTTTGTTCATTATTATAAGAAAGAAATTTGAGTTAAATTTGATCATGATTACTAATTCCTACATGTGCCACAAGGGGGTTGAAAAATTGCAAAATAGGGTTGGTTTGTCATTTTTTGAATATAATCAATAAACTATTGAATTTATCGTAAAAAGGTACATAACTTAAATTATAGATATTTATATATTTAATAAAAAACATATCTAAACAATTTTTCATACATCTATTATTTTGTATGAAAAAATATAAAATATCGGATATTTCATTTATTTAAAAAATTAATTTTTATATGGTTTTTTTTAAGTATATTTGAATAACGGTTGATGATACAACACAAAATCCAATGTAAGAATGATAAGAAATTAATTTTTTTAAAAAAAATTTATTAAGTATAAATTGCATTGGATAGATTGATTTATTGGAAGAGTCGAGTAAAAGTAAGAAAATTAAAAATATACATATAATGTTAATATAAGTATGGTAACTCAATAGTTTCAATAATAATATAATTAAGATGACTATAGTTATTGGGTGAAGGAGAAGAAAGTGAAATATTTTTAAATTCTAACCCCTTTATTTCTTTTTATTACTATAAAAAAGTTGTGTGAATTTAATTTAGTGAAGATTAATCACACCCTTCACGTGCCATAAGAGTTGAATATTGTCAAGTAGGGTATTTTTAGGTTTTTTTATTTAATTTAAAATATATTAAGCATAAAATTGTATATAACCTAAATTGTAGATTCAAATACTGTCTATAAAAAATGTTATTATAACATTCCTGGTTAATTTATTATTTTCTATGTTAATTAAGGAAGATAACATAATATTTTTATCTAGTTTAAGTAAGAAAGTCAAATTAATTGATTTAATACAAAAATATTTTTCATATTATTACTTAAATATTAAAATACAAATTATAATTAAATAGAAAAATTATTTTAATATTTTAAATAATACTACTATAATAACACATACCAGCGCCAGCCATATTTTCTCCAGCCAATCTACCAGAAATTACAGCATGATCATGATGTTCAACACGTCTTCTACCAAATTGATTATCATAAAAACAAGCACAATCGCCAGCCTAAGAAAATAATTTCAAATATCAAATATACTATTCAATATAAAAAAAAAACTTTTCATTTTAAAACTAACAACATATAAATTTGTTCTTGCTTGTAATTCTGCATTTACTAAATAGCCATCGAGATTTGGATCAACTTCTAATCCAGCATCAGCAGCTAGTTCAGTGTTAGGTTTAGCTCCAACTGCCATTATTACGTGATCAACAGAAATCTAAAACAAAAAGATTATTTAGAAAAAATGTTGTTTTATTTTATGTTCAATTGTACCTACATTTTTACCATTATTTAGAACTAAATTGACCTTTTCTCCATTATTATCTAAAGAACAGTTTTCTACTTCTGTATTAGTCACAACTTCAACACCTTCATCTCTAACTTTTTCTGTCGTCCATTGACTAAGATATTTTGGTAACACTTTTCCCATATTGCCATTTTCTTTAAATATTTGATAAATTTTAACACCATTTTTTTTTCCTTTATTAGCTAATGAGGCAGCAAGTTCACTACCCAAAAATCCACCACCAATAATGGCAATAGATTTAACATGATTTAATTCTTCCATTAGATCTTCAAAATCAGCAATAGATCGAAAAACTGAGAATTTATCTTTAACATCTTGACTTGCATCATTATATAATTTTAACGTTTTTGGAACTGAACCAGTTGCTATTAAACATTTATCATAACTTATTTCTTTTCCATCATTAAGCTTTACTTTTTTTTCAGAAACATTTATTGATTCAACTTTCCAGCCTCGAGCTAGAGATATACCACCATTTTTGGCAGATGCTAATTCTTCAATAGGTGTATAAAATGGATCAGGTTCATAAAATAAACTTCTAGTAGTACCATTCCATTGGTGAAAGTTCAAAGATTTAGCCATTTCAGAATCATCGCCATACCATAATTCTTTAGATAATGGTGGTCGCATATGAGGAAGATAACCTTCAGCTGATATTACTAAAACCTAGATGTATACAAAAATATTTATATCGATTTTATTTTAATTGTTAATAGAAAATAATAAATTGTAACTTACCCTCGCAGTAGGATCAGCTGACTTAATTGCTCGGAATGCTGCAAAAGAAGCTGTACCTCCCCCAATTAATAAATATTGTACATTATCAGGTATAGATTGAGATAATGCAGGAATTTGTATCAATTTTCGTGATTTTTTTGCTAAATTCAGATAAATGAATGAGTTTTATATTTATATCGGATTTAATAAACTTTAAAATTACCTTTTTTAATTTCTTTAATAGAACTATCATCTTTTTTCAGTTTTAAAATATCAGAATTCCAAATCTGTTTTAAAATAATTTTACCATATAAAAATATAATTATTATTATATAACAAAGTTACATATATTTTAAATTGATTATTATCATATAATGTTCTATATATAAAGTACAATTTTACTTTTTACTTTCTACTATTTTTTTAATAGGATACTGATAATCGAGATGTTATAGAAACATTTAGGATTAATTTAATTGTTCTGAATAATTTTTAAATTTTATACTTGGAAAATAAATTTCAATAAAATTCATTAGGATTGATATTATTAAGTTTTTATTTATAATATTTTATTGTTTCGTATATTTTTTATGAAAAAAAAAATTGAAATTATGCAAATAGTATTAATTTATAATCATATATTTATATATTTATATTCTTACTATGGCAATATTTTAAATAATATTTATAATATAATATATATATATATATATATATAAACATACTATAAAAATCATGTATTAAATAATTAAATAGAAGTATAAAACTGTATTGCGACATATAGAACTAAGCAAAACATAGTTTTTATAATTTCTTATACAGATAGTTATGATATATTCATTATAAAGTTAGATAAGATAAGAATAAGAACTTAGATGAAAAAAAATTATACATCCAAGCAACTTGTGTATTAGCAAGTTAATCAATTCAATTGTACAAAATAACATGATAATGTTCATAATTTTACATATTTTTTTGAATTAAATATACCCTACTGTAACCAACAGCACTAAGTAGCATTATTGTAACACTAAGATTCATTATATTTATTATAAATTAAATATTAAATTAAACAAAAAATAAAGTTAAAAAAAAATTATTTTTATACTTACACCATACAAAGATCCAGCTAAGATGACTGCTCCACCTATAAGGCTCATATTTTTAAAATACGGTTTATTATTAGAACCATTCTGCCACTCATTATTTGTCTCAGACACAGGATTTAGAGTCTCAGGAGAATGAGAAGACTTTGGTGGGTTTGAGTTATTACATGATTCAGTCTAAAGGATAATTAAATATTATATAATATAAGAGAAAAAACATATTTAAAAATATTTTATCAGTAGTGTACCTTTGAAACCAAAGGACACAATGTTAGAGGTTCATTATATTTGGTTTGTATCTCTCTTTTAGATATATTGACTGGTTCATAATTTTTTTTTGTTCTTTTTGAATAATTTATTTTAACAGGTTTAATAACCTAAAATTTAAGTTGATTTAATTTAATTTATTTATTTTTTGAAATTTGTCAACTTATAGACTATTTAGGTATATAATATAATGAAATATTTAATTCAAAAATATACAATATAAGTTGTATGCTTCAACTGTCTTTATCCTCATCCAGTAGCGCCAAACCTATAACCCAACTTATGGCAATTGACCCCCTTTTTTTTCTATGGGTACCTAAAAAACTATTTATGTATTAACTACTATGTGTGTTTCTACATTGAATAGATGGTGGGTAGCAAGAAATAATTTTTGCCACCCAATTTAATTTTAGTTTGGCACCACAGCCTTTATTTTTACTACCAACAATATGGTATTAATATCAATTGCTCTTGCTCATCACCATTATACAGTTTTCCATCTTATGCTCATATATATCAACTACTTCCATTTATGTTACCAATATATCCAATCATCTTTTCAATCAGGTTTTCTTTTTTTAACTCTTTCCTCCAATATTCATTTTCATAACATCTTTAATTTCTTCTGTCTCATCTCATCTTGCCTGAATCAATATTTGTATTCACTATATCTATGATTTGTGCCATTTCTAGACTTTTACTTATCTTATATATTTTAATAATTTCATACATCCATGATAAAGTTCTCATTTTCACAATACTACTGTTTTGTTCTCATGTCCACTGTTCAACATTTTGATTTAAAAAGCCTTACTGGCTTCACTATAACCTAATAAAATATAATATTTCTATTATCACACAATATCTTAGATACTTCTTTCCATTATATCCACTTTTACTCTTATTATTAAAGTACATTTCATAATTACCATTTCTTTGCAATATCAATCCTAAATACTTAACTTATAGATCTTACTTAATATATTATTACTCGTTTTCCTAACATTCCATTTCTGATCAACTCTTTAATTATTCATTTATTCTCAAACAGTTTGATACAAAATAATTAAGTAGCACAACAATTTTATAATTTATGAAACATCCATTTTTATCATATACCTAATAGTTGAAAGTTGAATTGATTGTATATAAATATATATACATAATGCGATAAACTACTACATGCACTAATATATTTAAATCTACATCAACCACAAACTTATTTAGGTATTATTTAATTTTTAATTACAAATAAAATGAACAATACTGATAAAAACAAAGTCATATCTTGAAAATTTAAAGTTTAGAAAATAAATAAAATCATGCTAATATGATAATAAAATAAAATTTTGATTGTTTACATAATTTATAATTTCCAAGCCAAATGATATCCAAGAGCAAATATACTAACTACCAGTAAAGGAATTTAATGAACTTTAAATAAGAAAGTTGTTTATAATAGGTATAATTTTGGAGAAAATATTAAATAACTATTACCTCTATTAATGGTGGAGTTGTTTTCCTTCTATGGTTTTTTTCACTGCTATTCTTTTTATCACTATAATTTTTACATTCCCAAGCACTTATTAACCTGGTTCCTGCAAAAATCATTCAAAATCGTACAGAAAAAATTAAACCGATTCAGAGCATAAATATAACGTACCAGATGAAACCGGCGGTCGAAGTAGTCTGAGTTTGGACAACATCGTTATTTAATATTTTTAAGCTAATTGATCGAATTCTCGCCGGCAATGAGCGGCAACAATTGGATTCTAAGTAAACACACACTAAACAGGTAAGAACAAAATAGCCACAATAATTTGAACGCACTAGAAAAAGTTTTAAAATAAATTATTTAACGTGTAGAAAAAAAAAACGTTTGACGGCTTTCGGGCCTTTAGAGGCTATCGGTTTAATAGATTTGGAAACAAAATGTGTTTGACGGAAAAAATCGGGCAACTACACCTGATCCGAAAAGCATTTCTCATGGAACATTAGAAATCTGATGTGAGACTGTTGATAAAGAATTCTGCGCCGGCGTATTCGGCGTGTTAAGCTCAGACTATTTCCGTATGTTTGAAATTTTGAAAGATAATATATATATATATAAAATACATGTATATATTATCTAATTCTCGTAAATTTACAAATAAACTATTTATTTCTGTTTATAAACTATACATTTATATACATTTTTCAAACTATTCATTATGTAAAAGTAATTTGTAGTTAATATTTAAATAGGAATTGATTACTTATATTATACCTACCAACATAAGCGACGATATCGTGTTGTATAATATATTCTTCAGAATAGGGTGAACACATATTTACATATATTTAATTTTATAAGTGATTTGTATCCCATGAGGTAACAGAATTATAGGAGATTGGGACCAATAAGTTAACTCATCCAAGGTAACCCGTAGTCTTCAACCGAAACCGGTTTTGATGAAAACAAAACATATTAATTCCAGATGTATTACCAAATTTTCCACACAAAAAATAAAAATATATATATATATATATATATATAAGATTTTTTAATACTAAGGGTTAATAGCTATGGGACACTAACTTAAGGTCAACATATAGTTTAATAAGTTTCAATTCGACATGATTTCAATCCATCGACATTCGACATTAAAATAATGTGATTTTGTCTAGAAATATTCAATTCACACGACACGAATATGACGTTTTTACATATAGCAGTAAAATACTATGTAGGAAAAGTTGTAATGCCCCGTTTTATATCATGATTTTCTTTTCCGGTTATTTGTGGTTATCACTACTCTATGTTTATAAAATTATCAGTAGAATGGCACTTGTATATTGTGTTTTTTTATCGATAAAAACGTGAAAATTATACGTTTTAGTTGTGTATTATTCTTATATTTTGTTTATTTCATTTATTTTCTTTATTTTCAATTAATTATAGTTTAAGCAAATTCGTCTAAAATGGATGTAGATTCTGATTGTACCATATCTTCTTCAGATTCTGACGATGACAATTTAGAAAATATTAGGCAAGTTCATTTGAAAGAAAAAATTGAAGTTCTGGAAGATGCGGTAATATTTTTAAAAATTAAGTTTGAAAATATTGAAATTAGTGTTTTGTTGATAATAATATAAATATAATGTATTAAATATTTAGGTATCAGTGATAATTGATAAATATAATATGATTGATTATATATATTGGTAATATATATGTACAGTGTTTATTATTTTATTATTGGATTATTTAGATCAGCAGTTTTCAATCATTATGAGAATTTTACCATAAATTGGGTTAAATGTTATCAAAAACCCCCTCTAAATATTTTAGTTTAAAAGCAAATAAATAAATAATTTTTTATTTATTTCAATCATTCAAAAAATGACAACAAAAAAGTTTTATATTGCATATAAAAATCTATGGTATTGTTAATCAATTAAATGATTGATATTCCATATTATGAACAATTTGTCTAATATTCAGTTCAGTCCCGACCAGTATACATATTCGTGTTTCAATTTTAATTGGTTTTGATTTGATTTCAATTTCAATTTTATTGTTGGTATAGTCGAAAATTCACATTTATACCTGTAAGTTATGGCAAAATGGAATCTGTAATTTCAAGGCTGTTACTGACAACAATAAATACTCGACATCAATTGTTACTAAAATTATGCTAGTTATGAGTTTTCATAATTTATTTTTTTTTGACTATTGACTTCACAAAGTCTAAGGAAGATTACTTTTTTAAATTTTTAATATCTAAAAATATTCCTTGACTGAGTTAGGACATGTGGGGTAGAAGTTCTTTAGTACTGTATTAGTAGTACCCACAATACTCCACATTAATGTAAAATCAATAATAATAATAATAACAAATAGTACTAACAATAAATTAGTCTTGTCTTTACCCTTTGGAAAAATCTCATTTTACTACTAAGTTGGAAACCATTGATTTAGATGGAGTTCTTGAAATTAATAGTTTTTACTATCTCAGTATTTTTTTTCAAGTTAAAGAAAACATTTTAAATTTATTTTAAATTGATTCCAATTTATTATTTAACTTTAGAGATAGCTTGAACTTGCTAGAGCTTAAAAATATTTTTCTCTATTTTGCTCTAATAAATTTCTTAAAATATATTAATCATTTGTATACTTATTTGATTCAGACACCTTTAAAATATATAGAAGTGTCCATAAATTAGAGTACAGACAAGTAAATCATTTATATAATTGATTAAAAGGGTCAATAGACCCTGACTAGAGCTTACATGCAAAATGTGATAATATGAGGGATTCAGCTGAATAGGATTGAAAAATATTTAAGAATATAATTGAACTTATGTGTAATAGATTTTATACCTCAAATCTATATACAACCTTCTATAAGATCTGTTAAAGATTCTAGTTATAAGAATCTTAAGATAGTAGTTTTTCTGATATTAAGTTACAAACTTATATTTTAAAGATTTTTGTTTCAAATCATAATACTTGACTAGTATTAAATATTTTCACAAATATGAAATTAGTAAAATATATTTATTTTAGAAACTGTAGTAATGTCAAACTTATTTTATGTTTCATTATATTTTTAACCTCAATAATTTATACTTATTTAAAAAGAAACTTTAATTTTGTATTTTATGTTTTGAGAATTCCATGCCATTGATTTAATTTTATTTTACTATATCATTTTATTATTTTTAATTCATTTTATTTCCTTCAGATTTTAAATTATTTAAGTAATTAAAGTAAGTGAACTCTATAAAGTTATATATTGTGTATTCTTTTAGGTCAAAAATTCACCATCTGATTATCAAGCACATGTGGAATTAATTAAAACCCTTCGTAGTATACATGATTTGGACAAACTACGTATTGCTAGAGAGCGTCTAAATGAAAAATACCCATTAAGTGCAGGTATTTTATAAATTCTTATTTTATTATTATTATCAAATAATTATATTACATTTCATATAAATTAAGAAAATATAGGAGATCTACTAAATGTTATTCTTGTTTAATGTTATACCTAATAAGTAATGATTGTATTTATTTGAAATTGTGTTTATTATATAATAGAACAGAAGAAATAGCAAGAATTGATAAGGGAGTAAGGCAAGGATGCATTCTGTCCCCTATTTTGTTTAATATGTTTATTGAAGAAGCTATAAAAAAAATAAAAGATGAAATACAAGTAAGAGCCAGAGTAGGTGGATAAAAAGTAATAGCACTTCGATTTGCAGATGATATCGCATTTTTCATTGAAAAAGAAGAAGATTTACAGTTATTATTTGAGAAAACGGAAGATATCTTAGGAAATTACGGAATAAAATTAAACAAAAATAAGACTAAAAATATGTCATGTAGCAAATTAAATAGAATATGGCTTAACATAAATATTAAAGGTGAACCCATCGAACAAGTGCAAAGCTATTGCTATCTTGGCTGTAAAATAAATTATGGTAAAAGCAAGTGAGACATAATAAATAGGATTAGACAAGGAAAAAGAGCATTTCAAAACTAAAACCATTTACTAACCACAAACAGTGTGAGACTAGACACAAGGAAAAACTTTCTGAAAATATACGTATGGAGTATAACACTATACGGATGCAAGAAGACCTGAACAGTAAGCGCAACTGAGTAGAAAAAATTAGAAGCTTTTGAATGTGTTGTTACCGCAAAATGCTCAAGATTATATGGAGCAAAAGATTAACAAATGAAGAGATAATATAATAGGACATATGTTGCGCAATAATAGTTTGCTGAAGCTGATTATTGAATGATATGTTGATGGTAAAACTGGAAGAGGAAGACCAAAAATGAAATAAATTTCACAAAGTATGAAGGACATAGAAATAGGCAGTTATTGAGATTTAAAGGAGCTGAGTTTTAACAGAGAAGCCTGGAGAGCTGCGGTCAATCAATCGAAAGATTGAAGATCAAAAAAAAATATATATATTTATTAATTTAATTTAATAATTTTTAAATTATTTTAGTATTTTAATTCCAAAATAATAAATCTATGAAATATTATATCAATATTGTGTGTAGGCTATTTAAGTTTAAAATTACTTTATGTTTTTACTGTTATAGTAGAATTAAGAAAGCATTAAATTTCAATGATTTTGTTTACTTTTTAATTTTAAATATAATTGTTAAAAATATTTATTTTTTATGCAATAAATTATTTATGTATTTTATTTTCTGTGTTAATTTATTAGCTTTTTAAATTTTACAGACTTATGGATCGATTGGATAAAAGATGAAATAAGTATTGCAACTACTGATGAAGAAAAACAAAATGTTATTAAATTATGCGAAAAAGCTGTTAAAGATTATTTAAGTAAGTACATTATTCAATTTTACTTTCCAAGTTTAATTTTGATATTTTGACTACCCTTTTATGTACATTTTTACCGCTCAAAGTACTAATTATAATCCTCAATATTGTTATTGGTAATTTAAGTTGTAATTTATATTAGGTTATAAGTTATAACTTATAACCTTTTTTTTTTTTCTTAAAAAATCGGCAATATAACAGTCATTTGGAAATGCTGTTAAACAGTACTTCAGGTAGTGGAATAAGGTTATAACCTAAATATTGTATAAAAAAAAAGTTAGTCTACTACTATTATACTAAATTCTAAAATTTAAATAACTAAATTTTATTTGGGTTAAGAACAATTTAACTTTTTTTATCTAAATTATTTTATTAATTAATATTAATTTTAAATCAATTACATTAAAAGAAAATGATACTTAAAAATTAAAAGTATACTCTAAGTTTAATGCTTGGTGGTGCTAGAGGCTGCAGTATGGGGTAAATACAATCAAGTGTATGACGCGTAATCATGCCCGTTGATATATGAATAAAATTACAATTTCTCTATAATTTTCATAGAAAAACCTTATTGGGCAGAATAAAACTATTTTGTGTAAATTCATAGTAAAAGCTCTTTTTTTTATTTTGTTTTAAAGAAGAAAATATACGTGATGTACATTTTTATGTTTTCATTAATTTTTTTAGCCAAATAAATAAATTAATAATTTTCAAATTTTGACTTATAAATAACCTTGTGTACTTTATTTTTTCTAAAATAAAAACAATAACATTTCATCATCAATAGTTTTCTTCTCTTTAAAATGACAAAAAAAAAATGGAATCTCTACTATAATTGTACATAATTTTTCCCGTGTATAAACCCGGGTTTAAGGTACGCGTCCATAGGTACGCATCGTACGGATCGTATGAAACGGATTTTAGAATTATTAGTATAGTAAGTTATACATATGCGTCCACTGGCCGGCAGCGGACGGATCGCACGTATCGGTCCGTCGGTAATGCCGACGAAATTGATCGAAGGGGCAACTTTTCCGATTGGTGCGGATGACGTCATACGGATTTCGCTACGATAATGCGAATGTTAATTAAAAAAATCCGACCGTCGCATCGGCAATCCGATCGCTACGGATACAGTGGACGCACTACCACAAAATGATCCGTTTCATACGATTCGTCCGATACGTACGATGCGTACCTATGGACGCGTACCTTTACACGACGCGAATCTGATGCGCGAGTCAAGATTCGACATGATTCGACCCGTCTGAACTTGCCTCGGGTGATAAGCGAGTCAAGCGAGGATACCTCGTGGCGAGCGGTAGCTCAGTCGGTATTTGGGCGCGCGTCAAAGGAGATTCGCCGATTTGTTTCGAGTCGTGTGAACTACTTCTTTGAGCGTCTTGCCTCGCACGTAACGCCATGGATCAAAATCAATGTATTCAATTTATTATACTGCAACCGTTGTTGAAACAAATGTCTACACCACCAACGTCGCCGTTATTTGCTTTGCATTTTTTTTTTTTTAAATTTGCATCGTAATAATGGCAAATGACGCTGCTGCAACTGGAGGTACTGGCACACGTATTGCCGCCATCGTTGCCTCACATAAACTGTGGCTTGCCCTGAATCACATTGCTTTGCGCATAAATACGTATCGTGTAAACATTTAGGTGAATCAGATGTCTCGCGAAGCAGCCTCGCGAATTTTGCCTCGCGCATCAGATTCGCGTCGTGTAAACCCGGCTTAACATAATTGTAGCTTAAATTACTGGTGTATCATATTCTCTGAATTATTTATCTAAATTAATGAATAATAAACAGTCATGTTTAAATTTTTCTTTATTTTTGTGCTTAATGTTATACATTAATTGTTACATTTAAATGTATTGTTTTATTTGTTGCTATACTGAACTTATTCTTATTTTACTATAGGTATAGATTTATGGTTAGAGTATGTACAGTTTAAAATTGGTTGCATGTCTGATACCACTGGAACAGATACCATACGGGAATTAATGGAACGTGCATTAACTGCCGGTGGTCTTCATGTACCTAATGGAAATGTTCTTTTCGAAGTGTACAATGAATTTGAAAAATTAATTTTATTATCGTTGAAGGTTGGATAAAAATTTCATATATTTATTTAAGTTAATCGTTAAAACTAAATGAGTTTTTATTTATAGGAGAGTACTGATGAAAAATCCATAAATGACCAAAAACGCCGTATAAATAATTTATATCGTCGTCAACTTTCTGTGCCTTTATTTGATATGGAAAACACTTATACTGAATATAAGCAATGGCTTGCTTCTGAAAATATTGAAATAGAAAAATCAGTTGAGGATACCTATAAAAAAGCTCTTAATAAATTACAAAAAATTCAAATTTTTGAAGACCGTTTGGTAAGTTTTATTACTTATTTATTAAATACAATTACATTTTATTTTTTAAATTGTATTACAATGCTTTTTGTTTTATCATAGAATCTCATTGACAACATTTTTTTAAGATAATTTTATAAATATTAATTTATATTTATTTAGTTATCTTTAGAAGTTAAAGATCGACTAGATTCTTATGTAGAATATATTCAATGGGAAAAAAATCCTAAAGAAGGTGGAAATAAGCCAACTCGAATAATATGCTTGTATGAACGCGCTATTGCTGATTTACCTTTAATACACACACTTTGGGTTGATTATATTGACTATATTGCAGTAACAATTAAAGAAGCTGATTACATATTAGAAACTTGTAAGAGGTCTGTAGCTAACTGCTCATGGTCTGCAGATCTTTGGACTACTTATTTAATTCAAGCTGAAACTTATAATCAATCACATGAAAAAATTACAGGTATATTATACATTTTATTATTTACAAAAAAATTGCTGATTTTTTTTTTAAAGATTTTCTATGACCATTACCTCTATTTGCTTAGTGTGTTCTATAGTAAGAGTACCATAGAGATATAGTAGGGTTGATTCATGTGAAAACAGTTATGCTGGAATTTGTGTTTTAAAACAATTGATTGGGGGAGGTGTGGTTTATTTTATTTCTTCTTTCAGGATCATGGTCTAGCCCCAAAGCAAATTCATCAGAGATTGGTTATTAAAGCAAAGTGATTTATTTCACTTGGCCACACTACCCCTAATTTTTATTTTATTTAAACATACACTTGATAGTAATTTTGTTTTAGAAATTATGGAAAAAGCAATAAGCTCATGGTTTAGTTCATCTGCAGAATATCGTTCTTTATATCTTTCTTACATTTTTTATTTGAGAAGACGTCTCAATAACGAAAATGCTGAGACTAAATTAAAGCAAATTCAAGATATAAGATTGATGTTAGAACAGGCTCAAAAATTTCTTCTTGAAAGTATGTATTATAGTTATAAAATAAAAATATGATCTGGGTATACTAATTCTTAAACCAGATAAATCTCTTCATGTTTATGAATTATAGAACTATATAATATTATTTATTCTAATGCCTGTTCCTAAGGCACTACAGTCATGCAAAAATTAAATAAATGTTAGGTAAAGTAGTTTTAATTTATTATTCATGTTACTTTAGTTATTGAAAATAAGTTACTGCAGTTATAATTTGTCTAAAAAGTCACTGTCAGATAAAACATTTGGGAATAGTTGTTATAATGTATAAATTAATTTATCAGTCTTTAAATTTGTAAAAAATGTACATAAATACTGTATATTTCAAAATCTTATAATTTAATTGTACCTTTCTAAAAACCATAGTAAATAAATTCAAATATAAGCTCTTTAAATTTTGATTACCTTCCATTAGAACTACAAGTATTTTTTAATTTTACCCTGTCAGTTGTTGTTCCAGTTTATTAAAAGTATTTAGTTTTAACAATGATTTTTATATATAAGAACATTAATTAAATAAAAAATAAATTTTAGGCTTTGGACACTCTGGAGATCCAAACTGTGAATTACTTTTATGGTGGACAGATTTTGAAGCTATTATAACAGGTGATATGGAACGTGTTCGAACTATGTGGAATGAAATTTTAAGTGCTGGTCTTAATCAATATTCTTCTTATTGGATGAAGTATATAAATGTTGAAATGTATGTACAATATAAAAAAATGTATTAGTTAAATGTCTGAATTATAAATTTAAATAATAATCTTATAACCTATTTTTATTATTTCAATTTATTTTTAGTCAATTTGGCGATCAAAAACATGTACGTAAAATTTTTGCACGAGCATTAATGACTAATACAGATTCACCTGAAACAATTGGTTCAGAGTGGATTAGATATGAAACATTGTATGGTGATTTAAACTCATTATTAAATTGCAAAGAAAAATATAAAATTAAGTAAGTTATTGTTTATAATAATGCTATTTTTTTTTTTTATTATTTAAAATGTATGTATAATCCTTCTTCTCCTTCACCTTTCTCCCTTCTATTTGGGGTGGACCACCCTTGTCCTAAACCTTCACTCATCTTGATTTTCTACATTCTCTGCGCACACATCAACAGCCACAACATTATTCTCGGTCATATTCAACCATTACTTTTTTGGTCTTCCTTTTCCTGTTTCCCCTTCAATGTTTATTTTAATAACAACTCTTACTGCATTTGTTTCCTCTCGTCTTATCACATGCCCAAACCAAGTCTATTTTCTCTCATCTTTTCTATAGACGTTATACCAATACTATCTCTCAAATATTCGTTCCTTATTCTATCTTCTCTTGTCACTCTATTCATTCATCTAAGCATTCTCAATCCTGCAACACTCATACTCTGTTCTATTCTCCTGTCAACCGTCCAACACTCCAAACCATATAGCATAGTTGGTTTCGCTACACCTGTAAAATTTACCTTTCAACCTTATTGGAATACTCTTATTGCATAAGACGTCTGAGGTTTCTCTTTATTTCATTCAACTGTACTTAATCTTATGTGTTACATCCATACCAAAACCCCCATCCTTTTGTACAAATTATCCTATATATTTTAAATTCTTGACTTCACCTATCACATCACCACTTATTGTCATTGGTCTTCTCATACCTTCAATTTCTTGGTATCTCCCTACAAAGTCATACTCTACTTTGTTTTATTTCTACTAATTCTCAATTCTTTTCCTTCAAGAGCTCCACTCATCCAACCTATTATTAACTTCTTTCAGATTTTCTCTTACCTAAACTATATCTTCAGTATACATCATACACCATGGTACCTCACTCTGTATATCTTTCGTAGCATCATCCATTACCATAGAGAACAAATAATGGCTTAGAGCCGATCCTTGATGCACACCAACTCCTATATTAAAATCTTCTGTTACTTCACACAAATATTACACAAGTTCTTGAGTTTTCAGACATATCCTGAATCAAATTTTTATATATATTTAGTATCTCCTTTCTCATTAATGCCCCCTTAAAAACTTCTCTTGGCCACTGTCATACATATTTTTTAAATATATAAACACCATGCATAATTTTTTCTTATTTTCCTTAAACTTAGTATTTTTTAATAAATTTAATGTTTTAATTGTATTAAAAAATAATCATTATTTTTTAAATGAACCTTGTATTTTATTATTGAAGAAAAACATTAAATGGATTAATTCAAAATGTACTTAATATCTTTTAATTTATACTTATATTTATATTATTAGAATGAAGCAGGTACAAGAAATACAAGATAAAGAACAAAAAACCGATAACAAGATGGGAAATAAAGAGAAGGAAGCAAAAAAACGAAAAGTAATAAAAATTGTGCTATAAGTTTTTAAATGATATTATTATTTTTTCTATTTTAGTGGAATGAAACAGAACAAATTAGTAATAATGATAAATCAAATGGAAATTTTAAAGTACCATTTGCCAAAAAAGATGTTGGACAAGAATCTGAAGCTTCCCCTATTAAAAAACTTCGAACAAGTAAGATTTAACGATTATAATATTTGTTTTAATTTTTGAATTACTCGGCTTTGTCTGTGAAAATAAATGCTTTCATTATGTCAGGTTAGATTATTATAGGCAAATAAAAAAATTATAATCGTCATTTTGTAATTTCCATTGTAAATCATACAATATTTATTGATATTAGGAGCAACAGACAAACGCCTTCATTCTCTGAGTCACCCATGAAATATATTTATAAAAACTTTGGTTCTTCTGGATCACTGGGTAATAGAAAACCAGACAAATGGTAAACTTGATCTTGAATTTAAAATGTTGGCAGTAAGTTTCCATGCTTAATATCTATTGCATCAAACAATGTCATTTGAAAAGTCACAGTTATACACAAGATATTTTGAATCTTGATGAGAACAATTTTAGAGACTTTTAATGAATTGGTTGGATCGTATCTGCAAAATCGTTTGTTAATTAAGAGGACGTTACACCCGCATGTGTTTTCTCCGTCTGACATACGTACAACATTGCAAAAGCTGTGAACTATTTTGCAAAGAGCAAAATAGGTTTTTTCAATTTTTTCGATTTTTTGACTTTTTATTTTTTTTAGCTCGTATAAAAAACAAGTATAGAACGAGAAATTCTCAAATAAATTTAAAGAGTTTAATTGTTTTATGTTCAGAGAGTAATGATTTAGAGGTAATTAATACCGATTATATAATTAAAGGGTTTGCTTCCCAAAAAGAAAGAAAAAATTATTTATACAAATAACATTTTTATTTTTTTATTAAAAAAAAATAAGAAATAAATTTATATATTAAAATATAATTTTTTTTTCTTCTGAAATATATTTATGGTGTGGATCATCAATATTTTGATTATGGTTATGGGCCCCTAAAATTGTTTGGCTCCGGGCCCCAAATTATCATAATCCGGGCTTGAGGTGCCCACTGAGGTGTGTGACGATAGGGTTCCTTTCTGTTTTTTCGGTTGTTATAGCAACAACAAAACAATAACTTTCTGGGCTTTATCATGTGTACATCAGCTTCCTTTTATTTTTTTCGTGATAAAAAGTAGTCTATGTCTTTCTCCAATGTCTATCTTTGTACCAAATTTCATGTTTAATAAATACAAAAATTTATTGGACACAAACCGTCGAACACGTCACATATATAGTCAGTGGCGCACACTGGAGGGTTCAAGGATAGCAACTGCTACCCCTGAAAAATTGGGTGGGTGGGTGGTCCTCCTGGCCCCAAAATATCTACATCATAATAAATCTAATACGTACAGTGGCGTGTTGAAGAGGTTTTTGAGAAGCCATGGCCTCTGCATTTTTAGAGGTGGGTGGTTTGGGTAGCCGAAGTCTCATGACTTATATGAGGATATCAATTCAATTGTACCTATACCTACATAAACTATAATAATAATTATTCAGGGACATTAAAATAGGCAAGCCTGTACAACTGTTCGTTAATTCTATTGGTAAAACGGTTTAAACGTGCTACGTGTAATAAAAACTAAAGAAACCCGAAAGAACCTTTTCTAAATTGACAATTATTAAAAACAAACTTCGTAGTACCATGTGTGAAAGTCGGTTAGAAAATTTAATGTTACTATCATGTGAAAATGATATTAAAATTGACACAGATACTGTAATTAATACATTTTCAAATAATAGTAGCTTATTGCAAAAGGCTTTATTATATTAATTTTAGTTTGATGTTTACTCCAAGTGTGTATAATTATTAAGACTTACAATAATCAATAAAAACTAATAGCAACCGAGAACCTGTATTTTATTTTATTAACATTCAATACTTTATTATTAAATCTTGAACAAGTTTAGAGAATTCCAGTTAGGGGGGTGTGGGGGCGAAGCCCCCGCGGGTCTGTTTTTGAAAGTGATTTAGTGGGTGGGTGTTATTTTTCCATTCAATATGCTACCCCTATTCATTTTTGTGTGTGCGCTACTGTATATAGTAACAAATGTTCGACTTATTCGATAGACTTTCTAACATTTTTCTTTAATAAAAGTCTTGTACCAGACAATTATGAAAAAAAAAAAAAAAAATCAGTTAAATCAGTCGAACCATTCTCAAGTTATTCTCTTATATACACAGAGCAATTAATTTATATATATATATATACACAGATTAACTAAACTACATTATTTTTCAATTAGTTAATTTTTATTTTTAATTTAAAAGCTATTATTATAGCTTTAGTACTCCAAAAATATTAAGACTTTTTCAATAAATAGATTTTTTGTGCAATTTTCATAATAACTTTATATTTACAAATAGCACAGTTTAGATTCAATTTATTTTGACATTAATGGATATTTTATCTGTTGAAATACTATATAGGTTTCTACCCAATCTGTTATGCTCAGCAGTTAATAATGTTAATTTACTGATAGTAGGTATACTAGTTTGTTTGGAATTTCCAAATACTTTTATTCTAAATATTTTACTGAATTAATTATTGGTTTAGTTTTTATTCTGTATTACATTTTATTATTTACTCATATACTGGTTTAGTAAATATTTATTATTAAATTATTTGAAGTAAAAATTTATATTAATATGGTTAATATGAAGAAAATATTTAAAAAAATGGGTAAAATATTATGAATAAATAAATAAATAGCCATAATTTTTTTAAAATAAAATATTTATGAATTATAAATTGTTTTAGCTGAAATAAACCTTGACAAAGGTGGTCGACACATGGAGATTGAAGGTAAAGAATATCGATCTGTATTTGTTAGTAATTTGGATTTTGCTGTGACTGAATTGGAGGTGAAAGATGCATTGTCTTCAATTGGTCACTGCGAAGTATTATTAGTAAGAGATTTTAAGGGACGATCTAAAGGATTTGGTTATGTGCTTTTCGAAAAGCCAGTAAGTATGACAAACATAGCTGTTATTGTATATATTATTAGCAATCTAATTTTATTTCATAGGAAATGGTTCCAGAAGCATTAAAAAAAGACCGTGAACTTGTAAATAATCGACCTATGTTTGTGTCTAAATGTGAACCTGATAAACAAAGTAGAGAATCAGGATTACGATTCCCTACTAAGCTAGAAAAAAATAAATTGTTTGTTAAAGGTAAAAACTTTTTTGTTGATATTTATGTTAAATCTTTTTTATTTATTATTCAAAATGTGATAGCATATCAAATTTTTATACAAGTGTAGAATTTAATTAATTACAATGTTAACATATTTTATTTATGTTTATACATGTGATTGTAATTAGTAAAACTTAATTTTTATTATGACAGTTGCATTAAATAAGTTTAACTACTTAAATAACTAGAGCATACTAATTTCTGTATTTCTTTAAAGGATTCTTGAGTTTAAAATCAAATAATAACAATAATTTATATTGTTTTATTATATTACACTGTTAAAAAAAATTGGATACATTTATATTAATACTATTTAACAAAATTTCAATTATTTTGTGCTCTGTATTTTTATAAAATAACTGTATAAATATTAATTAAACTATGTTAGTTCAAAATATATAATAAATTAAATGTGTTAAATATGGTGAATCTTAAGGAATGATAAGAATTTATATTCTATTAATTAAAATATCCTCAATTTTCTTCAAATGGCTTTAAATGTTAGTATCTTACAATTGTTAAAAAAATAAAATACTTAGCTTCCTGCATTAAATATCTAGACAATTTTTTATTTTTAATAAAATTTTTATTTTGAAATTGTAAAATTTCTTTTATATATATAAATTGAAAAGAAAACTTTTTTCAGTTATTTTTCTTTACAAACAATAAATTATAGAATTTACTATAGCATATTATGGTTTTATTAAACTAAATTTTTAAATTTAAAATTTGAATTTTTGCAAGGTTTGCCATTCAACTACACAAAAATTGATATAGAAAACATTTTTAAACCATATGGAACTTTAAAAGATGTACGTGTTGTTACATTTAGAAATGGACATTCTAAAGGATTAGCCTATATTGATTATGAAGACGAGGTAACATGATTTAACCATAATAATTTACTGTAATTTTAAACTTAATTATTTGATTGATTAGATATCAGCTGCTAAAGCATTGTTAAAAACTGACAACATGGTAATTCAGGATAGAACTATTTCAGTAGCTTTGAGTCAACCACCAGAACGTAGAAATCCGTCTGAGAGTAAATCATATCTTCCTGTTGCAAAGTTTAAATCACAAGCTTCAACTTCATCATTAGTGCAGTTAGTATTTATGTTTTTACAACCTAAAAATTTATATTTTTCAGTACATTTTTATATATCTTTTTAGACGTGATCATGCCCGTACAAAGTTATCTTTTACACCTAGTGTGTTGCAAAAAAAGTCTGATAAATCTGTTTCAACAACATTAGGTGGTGATACAGCTGCACTAACTAATGATGACTTCAGAAAAATGTTATTTGGTGGCAAATAACTATTTAACTATTTAAGTTTTAAAATAAAAATAATTAAGTATTTAATTTCAAGTATGAAATAAATTTTTAAACTATTTCCTGTATACTTAAAAATATGTATTTTATAAGATACACTTCAATGTAATTATTTCAAAGTGTTTGATTTACTTTTATGGTAAATGAAATAGAAATATCTTACATCAATTTTTGCTACTATAGCTTATTATTTTTAAATGAATAGCACATAGGTATAATTCAATTAATAGATAATAATAAAAATACATTCTACTTATTTATTTGTCTGTAAAAAGTTTTAGATTACCATATTTTTTTCATTCAGCGATTTTTAAATTTTTTTTTTCATTATAACAAATATTTGCAAATAATGAATTACAGATTAATTCAGAAATTAAAAGTATTAGATTTTCTAACTTTTGAAAAGAATTGTATTAAAAAAAAAATACATGATTTTGATATAATTATTGTTATTAGCTAATTATTCATATAAGCTATTTTTCCACATAGTCTTCTCATTCTATGCAGTCATGTTAGTAGCTTTTTGATGTCCTCCTCAAAAATCTATTGTCATCTTCCAGTTAAGGACCACTTGTTACACTTCCTCTTTAATTGAACATTTTTCCAACCATGTATGTCTTCGAGTAGGTGAAAAAAAGAAAGTTTAAAGTGCCAAGTTAGGGCAAGATGGTTCAAATATTTCTTATCGGATAAGTCCAAATGTGCCTTACTGGTGTTGGCGAGCACTATCGTGCAACAACCATAATCCTTCAATTAACATTTCCCTTCATTGGTTTTGAATCGCTTGCTTGTGCTTATTTAGTGTCTTACAGTATCGTTCTGCATTGAAGAAACTTCATCCACTGTCGATTGGCAGTATTCATGAACAGTTTCTCCGATTTTTCGCACAAACTCATAAGTCACAATTGAAGGTCTTCCATTCTTTTAATCATCATGTATATTCGTTCTACCTTCATTAAATTCATGACACCACTTAAATACGTTCGTCCGGTTCATAACACCTTCACCATAAACATTTTTGATCCGTGAAAAAATTTCAGTTGGTGTTTTTCCTTCTGCGCTGAGAAACCGGATTACTGCACGCACTTCACACTTGACGGGATTTTTGATAGACATATTCAACAAGAAAATTCTCATCAAAATAATTATTCGTACAATTATCAAGTTTTGATAGTGCTTTTTGTGTTCAGAAGAACTTCCACTATTGTTTAGTGTGGCCAACTTTGAAAAAAAAAAATTCCTAGAGGGAAACTACTCTTTCTGCACATGCCTCTTTTATAAATAAGGTACCTGTTATCAGTGGCGTAGAAAAGGTACCCGGTGCAGTAAACCCCCTCAAAAACGTTCAAAGCCCCCCCAAAAAAAACTTTGCAGAGCTTTATATTACTATATTGATCAATAAAAAAAATAAATGATTATCACTGAGAAAATGAAATTAATTTTTATTTTTAAGTTTTATTTGCCTTCCAATAGGTAAGCACATTTTTATAGGTGTAGGGTGGAAATAAAGTTTCTGAGAGGCAGTGATTGAAAAATATACACGAGGGGCTAAAATCCCCCAAATTTTTTACTTTAATTGCGCCTATGTATAGACCTCAACTAATATCTTTATATGAAAATTCAAAGTACCTATATACTTAATTTTGTTTTTTTAAATGTGAATACACATGAATCGATTAATGAATTAATACATTATTAATAAATATGCATATTAAAATTAAAATCCCATTTATTACTATAAAAAACATTGTAAATTATGTGAATTATTTTTCTACTTTAATAATGATTGTAATTAGAATCGGTCATGGATCCAATCAGAGGAGGGGTGAATGGAGTGCCCCCAAACCCTTCCAAAATTTTTTTTTTATGCATGGCAACAAAATAAACTATTCAATTATTTGTAATTGATCATATATAAATCCTAAACTTTTCGTCTACCGTGTCGGTGATGTGTTTATAGAGGGAGAATATAAGGAATAGATCCCCCTTTGAGCTTTTTTTTTTTCAATTATTTTTCAATCGCAATATCGTACTTTTGTCTTTTACGAATGTTTAAAATTCTTAAAAGTTTGACAGAAGAAAATTTTCTATCACAATTTTTTTATTATTTTATTTTTTTTAAATTTTTTATATCCAACTACGTTATAGATAGAAGCATACAGGGAAGGCCTGGCCCACAGGGATACCGGGAGGTTCTCGGTGGCCTGACCTATTTATTGGGATTCGTCACTGGCCTGACGGCCGTATCATTTTTTTTATAAATAATTAGTTTTTAAAAGAAGTTTTTGCACTTCAAAAGTTGTCTAAAATATAGTTAATAACATTTCAGAGGAATATTTATGACTGTCGATAAAATAAAAATATAAGTTGAATAAACAAATAAATATAAAATGTTGTATTATTTACAATGGCACGCCCGCTGGAAGGTTAATATGGGTATTTTGGGATACAGAAAAGCATTATTATTATTGTGTATGTTTCGTCGACACAAATGAGGGGCCAGGGTTGGTGAAAAATTAAGTCAAGTTATGTGTAACAGTTGTAGAAACTGTACACTGTTGTTAAAAGTATTGATAAAATACAATTTATATAGTAACGCTCATCAAGTTTTAACAGTTGCTTATAAGTATTTATTGTGTCTTCCTGTAACCCAAGTTACCTGTGAACGATTTTTTTCTATTTTAAAATATACAATAAATAGGATAATAAGTAAACTTACTAATGGATATACTGAAGCATTTATGTTAATGTCAGTTGAAAAAGAAATTTCGATTAATATTGATAATGATTAAATAATTGATTTAATGTCACAAAAAATTAAGCTTTCAACATGTTTTTAAAATTTCTTAACTTATTATTCATATTTAAAATATAGAATGAATTATATAAGCTTAATTGATGTATGTACATTCTTTTTGGTTTGTTTATAAAACATAATTTATTATAAAAAATTCAGTCATATAGTAGGTATTGCTTATTTATAAAAATCAATGGCTAATTGAACTTTTTTTTTCAGTTGTTTAAAAATAATACATAGAGTTACAGAGATAGGTGTAACTAAACTTTCGAAATTGAATGGACATGAACAGACAATAGTCTCACAAAAATATTGATACTGATTGAAGGTTTATTTTTTTATGTCCTCTTATATAAACAATAAAAACTAAAAGATTAGATAAATAAATAATTATTAAATAAATTGGTAGTGTTGTTAGGAGGGTAGGATAGAACACAAGCTCAGCTTTCTTCTACCTCCTCCCCCCACTACTATAGTAACGGCTTATAAGCTAAACATTTATATATGACCTGGGTAATAAATTTTCCCGGCCTGAATTTTTCTCCCAGATCGTCCCTAGAAACATATGAATTTCGTTCCTAGTTAAAAGATTCTAAATTCTTCACTACTACATATCGATCATTTTCCAAAATTGCACTGAAGTAGGAACGATGTTTCAACGTGTCCATTAACTCAATATTATCCGATTTCAATGTGCGGTGTGGTATGTGCATATTTTATTGCCGGTCTCGGTAATATGTTCTATGCTATTTAATATTTATATCTAATGTAATCTAATAAGCTTTAAATTATGTCAAATTCTGAAGACAATTGTTTAATGTTAATTATATTAAACAACATAAATAAAACGAATAAATGCAAAAAAAATATTATTTTATATTTTAGGATTTATTGGATATTAAAAAACTAAATATTAAATCCCAATTAGGGCTCTCGGTTTGATACGTGTATTGATATACATGTATACACGTGTTCCGAACATTAAATAATAATATGTAGGAATATACATGTATTTAATTACACGTGTTTTTAAAGTTCGTGTACACGTGTATCTTAATACATACCTAGGTATATTAATATTTATGTAGATAGGTAAAGACTTAAAATGAGTAAATAATAATTAGGAATGCATCGATTTTTGATCATAGTTTATAATTTATTTAAAATAAAATATTCAAAATTTAAAAAACTAATTATTATTTATATTTTGTCATTAATAAAGGGTTGTTTCTGGTCATAAATTTGATAATTCAGATATCTTAACCAGTTCAACTATGACTGCAAGTTTTTCAGAAGCACAAAATTTGGAAATTGACGCGCTAATGCATACGAAACGACGACGTTACTTAACTTTCTTTTTTAACTTAAAACTATAATTGTTTTAAAAATTATTGTTTAAGTTGTCATCGTTCTATAAACATTTCATGCACTTATGAATCTTGATATAACAAATATATGTCATTGAAAATTGAAACAAATCTTTATAAATTAACATAATGAATATATTACGGTTAAAAAAAAAAATACATTAAAAAAAATAACAACGTATTATACAACATACATTAACATTTTAAAAATAATAAAAAGTATAGCTATGCAAAATAATAATTATGGTGCATAAAAATACAAAAATGAAATTTACAAAAAAAAAAAAAAATAGTAAAAAATTCAATTGTTTATGAAAAATAACCGTTTTAACATAAACAAAAACATGAAACATAATATATGAAAAATAATAATGATGTGTAAAAAACACAAAAACAAAAAAAAAAAAAAATAGTTTTGAAATGTATTATTTCAAATATGTACAACAGCTTATAAAAATATAAAACTGTTAATAGGGTATCGCTAAGTTTTTGTTCAGCAGTTAAGTGCAAAAAAGAATATTTTAATAGACATTACTTCTTTCGAGTAATCATCTTTTATAATTTAACTGCAGTTGGTCTAATAGCTATTCGCTTACAATTTTAATATTACTAATTAACCTTGAGCTTGATATTTAACGCTTTGCACAGCTTTTCGATTTCAACTTTCACTTGCAGCGTCGCATCAGGCTTCTTGTATAATTCAAACAGACAGCTTATTATAGAAATTGTCCACGGATTGTTCGGACCGTAGTTTCCCTCCGAGCAAGATTCGAGTGTTTTCGTCACCAACTGCACGACGAACAGCAGCTCTTCGTCACCTTTCTCGTATGCTTCGTTCAACAAGTCTTCAAAGGCAATATCTTCCTTCGATATCGGTTTATTTTGCGCCAGAGTGATCATGCCCAACCAGTGGCCCAGATTTTTGATTAGCCATTTATCCGCCACACTTGGAATGCCTATGTTTCTTCTCAACAGAATCTAAAACCATAATATTTACATTTTCTGTCAGTATAATTACAACATATTTGAAGTAGTTATTTGATTTATTTGATTATTATTACGATATATTGTACAGAATACACGTTGCGAGTGAAAATAGTAAATTAATATCTACTATTAATATCTACTAGACTATATCGTAATGCGCTAAACTGATAAACCTATTGCCCTATCCATCAATAATAACCATTCGCTTGTATTTATCCTGTATGATTAATTCAACGCTTAAATGGGATTGAAGAATAAACATGTATTATCAAATTTTTACCTATTTTTTTTTTTATTCTAAACAAATGCAACACTTTAAAATCTATACAAATTCTCAGCGCCTTGAACAAATACAAAATGTTTGATTCATAATAAGCTTTGTATCCAAATTAATTACGATTGTATTTTATAAAAATAATTTTAGTCGAGATTATTTTAATCTTCATCTAAATAGATTTTTGGTATAATATCTTTAGCTTTATTTAGAAAAAAAAATTTATCTAAGTTCAATACTGTTTGTTATTTACCTTAATTTTTTTGATGGTGTCCGATAATACCATCGAGTTCAATGTTTTGCTGTTCAAACTATCCAATACGCTTGAGTATAGATCGTGAAAGTTGAATTCGTGTCGCACCCGTTTCAAGACAATGTACCTGGATAACCACGGCAAGTGTTCTTTGGCGATCAGACGCTTTATCTCCCTGCACTGAAACATAAACATAAAACACGGAAGGTTAGTAAAATAATTTGTTAACAAGATTATTTCACAAACACAACAACGTAATACGAATTAATGAAAAAAAAAAAATGGAAATATAAATTGCATAATGAATAATTAATGTATTTGGATGGATTCTTACCTTGGTTTCGAGATTCGTTTTGCTCAGGCTGTTGATAACATAACGAATTTCGCCCTGTACAGCTTTGGACGGTACGATTATTTTGACATCGTCAACTGCCGTGGTGATCGCTGGAGGTTCCGGTTTTGGCGACGCATAGGCCACTATGGCGATCTCCGGATGTTCCGGATTTGGCGTTTGCTGGCAGATAATCGCGTCTTGGGACCGCGATTCGTTTTCCTCCTCGCTGTTATCGGTTTCTGATATCGTTTGTTCGTCGATGGCTTGTCGTCCTGTCGGCGATGCAAGCCCGACCACATCGTACATCACGTCCTGCGCATAACATAGAAAAAATGATTAGAACCTGTGGCGTAGATATAATTTTTTTCTAGGGGGATGTTTAAGAGTCAATTTATAATATTCTTAGTATATCTTAATACGAGGTTTTGTATAATAATATTACATTTAAAATGGTATTATTATTATGCCTAGTATTTATTGAAAATTACTTTGTTACTCAATTTTTAATATATACCTAATCATAGTAAAATGAAAATATAATTTAACTATAATATGTAAATATTAATAAATAATAATTAAAAATCATTAAAAAAAAATCTGGGGGTGTGGAAACCCCTTACACCCCTCTCCAATAACTACGCTAGTGGTTAAAACCAATATCTAAATGGTGTTTCGAAAGAAAACGTTCATGCGTTTCGTTAGTTTTTCACACAAATATCTTTGTTTGCATTTAAACGGTACTATCGGACGTATACAAACTATATTAAACAAAGCATTATATCAAGTAGTAGTGTTGGGGTTGGATTTAAAGAAAAAATTAAATAATTAAATAATTTAAATCGGACAAATCCGAATGATGACTACAAAACTTAATTTATTAATATAGTTTAAAGTCTAATCAATATACTAGTAGCTATCGCTATTCACCTATTTTTGATTTATTATATTGTTATTTGTTTATTAAGATTTAATAAGTAATTAGTATTGTATTACGTTATTTTTCAACATTTCAAACTTACCTCAATAATGTCCAGTGGAAAATCATCAAATTTATCGATTTTTTCAAGCCGGATACACAATTTCGAATAATTTTTCAATTTCGTTTTAAACCGATTAAATGCTATATAACTGAAATTAAATGCATTAGCATTTTGCGTATTCTTTAAATCATAAAATATATATCTAATGATTGTTTCCAATGTATTTTTATCACTAAAAAATAAAATAAAAAAACATTTTTGTTAGTTTTTATTTATATCAATATAATTTGATTTTTAAGCTTATGCATAATAAATAACTTATAAAAGGCTACTTACGATATAAGTCCATGTTTTATAAATCCGCCTACGAAATTAGCCATTTTGAAAATATTTCGATCTGAGTATGATGAGAATAATTGAAAATCTTTGATCAAACGTTTCACCATGCTACAGACAATTTCCTACGTGAATAAAAATACATTGAGTTAGAAAAAGGAATATCGTAATAACGACTATAACTAATTTATCATGACAATTTTAACAGTATGATATTAGGCTGATTTAATTATTGTATTCAATGGTGTCGTCATTTTATTTTTCATGTAGCTTAAAAAAAGCATCATTAACTTCCATAGGCATAACTAGAGGAGCGCAATAGGATTTATAGCAACCCTGACTTCAAATGTAGCACTCCTGTTCTTGTTTTCAGATCTATATAATCTATAGTAATTACAGTTAAATATAATTTAATTTAATTTTCAGCAATTCAGCACCCCCAATATTTGTACTTTAGTTGCGCCCATGTTCACTTCTTTATCGTTGTAACTATTTCGATTTGTGCCTCAAAATTCTCATCAAATATAAATATAGTGAATGAACTATGTTATTTATATATATGGATATACATTTGTGTATTTACGTGTTTTGGGGGTTAAAATATCCCCCAATATTTCTAAAACAAATGATTGTAGCAATGCTATGGAAGCTTTGTCTACATGTAATCTCGAAATATATCTAAATATATTTAAATGATTTTATCATTTTCGCCACACTCCCAGTTTCAACTGCATAGAATTAAAGATTATTTTCGTTGTTACAAAGAATAAAGATTTATTTACGTAATATTATGAACAAATTAGGTGTATTTTTTGTATTATTAATATTATATTATACTAATTATTATCAAGTCTTAGTAAATAATTAGTATCATAATTATTATAAAATGTCATTAATTTATAATTGTTCTGTGTAAAAAACACTTAATGGGTCGGCTATGCTTTCAGTCAATCGGAAGGTTCATATTTAAAGTAATCAAGTATTGGACGAATTGGCATTAAAAAAAAAGTCGTGTTCCTTTCACACTTTAACACTCATTAACAGTAATGAGAAACACAGTTAAAATAGTTGGTATTTTAGATTTTGCTGATGATACATCTTGGAATTTTAAAAATATATAAAATATTTAATAATAAATTTAAAATTAAAAACAAATACTATAATATAAAGAATAGAACCAAACACACTTTTTAATTTCGCACTACACACTTTACATTTCGTATTACATAAAGTGTGTCACACTGCACACAATTTTAGTTCCTGTAATAGGTAATTGATTATAAATTAAAACAATTTTTAACAAATGTGTATCCTTAACAATATTTTGGAAAATTATTGTGGAGGAGCAAAGCTGATTAGTTAACTTTGTAATTAAACTATGATAATATTTTTGGGGAATAAAGTATTATCTAGATACCCCTCTCCCCCAAACGAAATCCAAAATACGCCGCTGTAGCTATAAATATTCTTATGCGTAATATTAAATAATAACAAATTCTTACAGTTTCAAGAACTGAAATGATTTTTAAGGGATTTTCTTACACTTAAATATGAAAGTACTAGTACAAAAAATAGAAATTATTAAAATTGTTATCAATAATTAACGTTTGAAAATGCTTTCAAGTATAGCTGATAGTAAGGAGTGGGAGGTTAAAATGAAGCCATCAATTGGTTGACTATTGATAAAATTTAATTTCAACATTTAAAGCATCTCTTAACTAAACAGTTATCTAATCATAAAGAATTATTTATATTTTAAAACATATTTTATATATTTTATATTTAGTTTTATTACATACGAAACTAAAAAATTAATATTTATATTTATTGATACATTTTATTCATTTAAATTTTTCTCATTAATCTGTAGAGAAAAATTAAAAATTTAATCAATTTTGATATTTATATTACGTATATTTTTTGTTCATTAAAATTAGGATTAAGTTTAATGTAATTTCACTAATTGGATAAGTGAAATATAACCATAATTTACAAGTATTTTGTATGTTTCTAGGACTTATATATTAAAATATATTTTTACATGCAAGGATTTTTCTTTTTAAATTTTAACCCTTAACTGGTATTGTCGGATCAAAAAAGACTCGTGCCGTTTTTTTTTTATTGTTTTAGATATCACTTTTTTTACCGTACCTACTTATTATATTTTAGCCCATGGCTTCGGACTACTTATGTTTTTCGTTATCAATCCCAATAGCACATTTTTTTATGTCATGAAAGTTATTAAAAGCTGTTTCGGTTCATTTATGACCCAAAGACACGTGTTACGTGTTTTTTTTAATCTCTTGTTATCACGTAACTATTATATTGAAATGGATATTTTCTGACTTTGCTTCGAATTGATTTTAACTTAGGAGATGGGTGATGATAACGATGTAAAATTGCATGTAATAATATTATTTTTATATTCAAAAATTAATTGTTAGATATATATATATATATATATATATAATAGTCCACCGTCTATCTGTCCGATTAGTGATTAGTAAAGTTTACCTAATGCGAAGAACGAAAACAAACCACGTAATTTTTTTTTTTTAAGTAAGTGATTTAAATTTCATAAGTTAGTTAGAAGAAGTAGAAAATAATACTTTGAGAGTTATTAATATGTTAAGATATTAGACTTAAATTTTTTTAATAATTTTACAAATAAAAATATGCCTTGAGAAGTACAAAAAGTGTTTGTAATTTATTAGAAATAAATAACTAATGACCTTAATTTTATTTTATTTTTTTGATTTAATATCTAAGTTAAAAAAAAACTTTATTTCGTAGGAGTATCTCGGACCTGAATGCATATTTATAATAAAAAAAAAAAATATATTGAAAAATTTAAAATGTTAGGTCATATATGATTCGGTGATACTGGTTATGTAAGTGCAAATAAGGATAACTGTTAAGGGTTAAAAGGAATCAATAGTATAGCTTATAGTATTAATTACTATTAATTACCTTATGACGAGGCGCTTGAGAAGCATGGTATCTTTTGAAAATATTCAGTAGTTCATTGCTGGATGGATCGCTGAAAATTCGTTGGAAATAAATGTTGACCCGTTGGTCAAGTGTGGTGAGCGTCATAATAAATGTTTATATATGGTCTCAAAATAAAACAAAACAGTTTTAAATAGGATATTAATTATAAGAATTGTATTCAATATAAATAGTGCCTATAATGTGAATAAATTGTTTGGATAGTAAAGACTTCAAAAGAGTCAGGAGATGTTAAGTGGTCCGCCTTAAAGCAGAAAGTGTGCTAAAAAAATGTACTCTTTCGGATACATCGAATCGTTTCCTTGGTGAAATCATAATCATATAGTGTAGCTTTCCATTAAGCCAGAATATTAATTACAACAACAATTTAAATAATGTAATAACACAAAACGTGTTATCAGTTTTATTTTCAAAATAAACGGCGCGTCGGTGTTACTGGTTACTAAATATTCATTTTCAAAATCGACAGTTCTCATATATGATTTTGCTCTATGAATCCTTTTACGTTATATTTTTACTTTGTTTATAACGTCATTATTTAAAAAAAAAAAAAAAAAATTACATTTTATTTCAAAGCAATTTACAGGATTTAATATAGTGTTTACCGATATGGAAAATAGGGTACAACATTTATGTATATTATTTTTAATATTTTATAATAATAATAATAATAATAATAATAATAAAAATCTGTTGGAAATAATAATTATTATTTCCAACAGATTTTTAATTCTGGATTTATTCAGAACGTTGCACGCCTAACCGGAATATGCTATTCAAAGATCTATTAGTATTGGTTGGAAAATGATGGATGAGCCGTTGTAAATGTTAGCTCTATACAAATTGGAGGGTACGGGTGAGCTCGGCGCGCTTGCAATGATTATAACAATATGTTATAATTAGGGCTGGGATTTCAATGCACTTTGATTTTTTTTCTGAAGTTTTCTGTACGATGCTCGTTTTGTTACAAATATGTTTTAGGTATTTTTAAATTAGAATAAAAAATTTTATTTTGCATTTTTTACATTTTATGACAATTTTTGATTTTAAGGTCATTTTCTTATTTTTTAGGGTATTTTAGTAGGGGTTTTTAAGTCATTTTTGGTGTTTTTGAATTTAAAATTAGAGATCATAGATTTTTCTACCGACGGATTAATGTTGTTATGTAAGGTATGCAATGTAAAAGTTGCTGTTGAAAAATGTTTTACCATAATATATATCAAGAGACAAACATATTAATGGAGTACAACGAAGAGAACAAATTGAAGAACAAGAAAAAAATATGTATATCTACAAAAACTTATTGGGGAACAACAGGAGACACGCTCTCGTGATTTATTGTAACAATAAAAAATTATTTTTTATTTCTTAATGTATGAAGGAAAATAAAATATTTATGCACATGTAATGTAATTTTTGTAAAATTTTAAAGGCATTTTTTAGGGTCATTTTTCGCGATTTATAAGAACATTAAAATCCCAGCCCTATAATACTCGTACAACTGTGGCGCCGAACATGTACTCCAGGTAGTTCAATTGTACTACTTAGAAAATTGGAATGTTAAAAAAAAACAATCATTAAAAAATTTTAATTCATTTTTTTATATACTAGTTGACAGGTATTTTCTATTTAAAATAGTATATTGAATAATTAAATATTATTTAACATTTTTAATTATTAAAGATATTTAAAAAAAAATGTTTTGATATTTTAATGGGTGATAAATTGGAAGGGAGCGGGTGAGTAAATCTAATTATTTTAACAGGTAATTTCAATTTCATTCGGCGCTACTGGTCTGGTAAATCTGGGCCTATTCTATTTTCAAATAGTAATTATAAATATTTTTTACATCATTATCATTTATTTTTTAATATCTTTAAATACTATTAACAAGTTAAACAGAAAGAATTGTGTTATACCTATTATACTAAATGATAATTTATACTCAAGGTCGTGAAGAGAGAAACCCGGGCCCGGGGTTATATCTTAAAGTACATCTTAATTTTTTTTGTATTGTTCATTAAATTCTTATCATTGATTGCGTTTAATTTTTAATAATTTGTAGTCCCTAATTTTCGGACTCTCTTAAAAATTCCGGGCTTGAAGGGAGATCATTCCTTTCCCCTCTTATTGTCAGGCCTGTTTATAATAATTAAAACACCACTTGCGAGTACCCAAAGTACATTATTATGAAAATTAAGAAACAATACAACAGCAACTATGGATCTCAATTTAAACAATCCGAATACAATAAAGTTGTGAATCAACTGTTCTTAAAGCATTTTACCATGCTAAAGTTCAACAAATGGGAACTTTCTGAGCCAAACACTATGCTGATTCGTAGCAACTGGAAGGTAAATAAACACGAGTTTAAAAATTAAATTAAATTAAATTGATAAAAATTATGTTTATAATTTAATTCCTCTCAAATTTTTAGATGCATTATAATTAATTTGGACTTATTAAACTACATTTTAAAACCAGACAATAACAATTTATGATAATCCCCTAACAGTCTTGTACAACATATTTATTTTTGATATGATACTACGTTTGCAAATAGAACAGTGTTTAAAAATCTATATACAGTGTAATTATTATAAGTGAAAACACTCAATAAGTACCTATGTGCAGGTTTCATATATTTCAATTCTGCTTTTTTGATCACCGAACTAATAATCATTATTATACACATTTTCAAATAATTAAACTATTTTTGTGACAGTTAATTTTGCGCATGCAAACAATAACTTTTTTTTCTTAAATGGCAACCACCTATTTTAACTACTAATTATTTTTTGCCTAATTTTTTAATGAATTTTGGTAGTTTAATCAACTTAGTCTAAGTCTACTATTGACCAAGTTACAGCCTTTTAAAAAAAACAATGGTAAAATGCACAGGATTTTCAGTATTTTTGCTGTAATTCTGAAAAAAATTGTTTTAGAGTTACTCAAGTTGAATAATTCAACTTGACATTTTTACCAGTATTAATTAAGGTGAGACTTACACGTTATTTTAATTTAACTACTCTTTATTTTAATTTGAATTTGTGCAAGAATTATAACTTATAGCGTAAAACCGTAAATAAGTATATTATTTATTTCGCTGTATTACATGGATGTTTAGACATGTAATAAGGGACGATTTTAAACTCGGCCCAAGGAAAAAAAATTTTCAAAAGGTCTATTGTAAACTCGGCCCGTGTTTTTTTCAAGTAAAAATAATTTAGGTGTAAACTCGGCCCGAGGTTTTTGCAGGTAAAAATAATTTAGGTGTAAACTCGGCATGGATAAAAATGTACAGATAATTTTCTTATAATATTTTTGAGTAGTTCCGCACCGGCAGCCGTCCGCTACACACATATGTTATTATCGTTGCGACCTACGCCTTGTGCTTAACAAACAACGTACTTAATTTATTCATATTCGCTAAATAAATAATCTTTGCTGACTAAATATTTTCGCTACACAAATAAAAACATTACTTTTACCTTTTCTTTCCTCGCGTTCGCTCCAGATTTGAATCGAATTCGAATGCATATTACTTTCTGTAGCTCTAAATTAATTATATGTATATTATTCAATAGTTAATTGTCCAGTTACGCAATACATCGATTGGTGTCGCCTTATATGCGGTCTATCGCTGATGGCCGATAATTACAACCTAATCACCTTCTATTCATCAGAATGTTATCGTCTACGAACAAAAATAATATCCATGCTACGTCGCAGAACAACAAACACGCAAATTCAAAACACAATGTAAATACAAAAACAAACGAGACTAACCAAAAGGCGTCATCGACCAATTCTACCTCAATGACTAATTGGACGACTCAAAAAAAAAAAGAAATCACTCCAATTTCTCTTACTCAAATTCTGAACCACCAACATCTCCGCAAGATTACACACATACACACAAAAATAAAAAAAAACTATTCATCACGAAAAATCGTTACGAAGTACTCAGTCAAATAGAGCAACCACCTGAAACATCCATGGATGCAGTACCATGCCCAGAAAATGAACCAGAAGTTATAGCCAAACCCCCACCGCCTATATTCATCAAAAATGTACACGATTTCCCAGCGCTGTGCACAGAGTTAATCGATCTGATAGGCGTAGACAACTTTCACTGTAAGTCAGCGACAGACCGATTTAAAGTACAAACAGCAAATCTTGAGTCTTATAGGAAACTAGTACACTTCCTCAGGGAAGAAAAGGCCGAATTCCACACATACCAGCTAAGCGAGGACAAATCAACACGTGTAGTAATTCGTAACTTACACCCATCTACCCCTACCGATCTAATAAAAACCGAACTAGAAATGCGATTGTTTGAGGTCAGGCAAGTTACCCAAGTTCTTCACCGACTCAATAAAAACCAACTACCTCTATTTTTTGTCGACCTAGAACCTACATTTCACTCAAACGAAATCTTCCAGCTTACTTCCATCCTACACACCAAAATCAAAGTCGAAGAACCGTATAAAATCAAAGCTATCTCTCAGTGTGCCAAGTCTACGGACACACCAAGGCATACTGTGGATACTCACAACGCTGCGTACGCTGTGGAAATGGTCATCCTTCATCTTCGTGTCAAAAAACCCGCGACGAACCTCCATGCTGTGCTCTCTGTCAAGAAAGCCATCCTGCCAACTACAAAGGCTGCTCAGTGTATAAAGAGCTACAGTACCGTAAGAAACCCAGCTCAAATAACAACAAATTTATTTTTGATAACAAACACCCTAGTCTTAAGTCTAATCTTGTAAAAGACAGTCATCCATCAGAACACATTAATTCAGTCCCTCCTACAGCTCCTCCCCTTACTTATGCCAAGGTAGCCACTAATCAATCCTCACGCTCTAATTCCACTCCAACAACTCAAGATACCTCGCCATCTGCAGAAACAAATCTATCTCATCTAATGTCAGGTTTCTTAAACGATTTCAAAACTCTAATAAATCCGTTAATTTCACTACTCACCACAGTAATTTCCAGTCTGCTCGACAAATCCAAATGACTTCTTCGGCCACAAATAACTCACTCTTAATTTTGCAATTTAATGCAAACGGCCTCAAAAATCAATCAAACGAACTACAAACTGTCCTCCACAATAGGCGTATAGACATAGCAATTATAACTGAAACCCATTTTACTAAATACTCATATATTTTCATCCCTGGATATAAACTAATAAAAACCAATCATCCCGACAACACGGCACATGGTGGAGTCGCCATTTTAATCAAAACCTCCTTATATTATCAGCTTCTTCCTAATTACAGTTATGACCATATCCAATCTTGCTCAATTTTAATTAAATTGAACAAAATCCCAATCACTATCGGTGCATTCTACTCCTTCCCTCGTCACAAAATAACTAGAGCAATACTTGAAGATTATTTTAACACAATTAAAACTAATTTCATTATCGGCGGTGATTACAACGCCAAACATCAGAGCTGGGGTTGCCGCGTCAACAACCCTCGTGGTATTGTACTTTACAACCTTGCAAACGAAAGGCATATCAATGTTCTCCCTCCTCCCCCGGGTCCTACATATTGGCCAACCACGCCAAATAAGAACTCTGACATCCTAGACATTTTTGCTGCCAAAATTCCCAGCAACTTACATTGTTCCACTGTCAATATTCTTGATCTAAACTGTGACCACTCTTCAGTCCTACTCACTATCTCAGCCACTCCGCTGAGTATAAATAATTAAAAAACATAAAAAATTCCACGACATAATAAATGAAAAAATCGATCTAAAAACTAAATTAAAGACAACCTCAGATATTGACGAAGCTGTCAACAATTTAACAACGCTTATACAACACGCCGCGTGGACTTCCACAAAACCTGATAAAACCATTAGCTCAATCAAAAATAACTCAAATTCTAATTACTTCTTACTTCCGGAAGAAATTAAAAGTTTAATCACTGAAAAACGTAGGGCAAGAGCAGCTTATCAACTCTCCCGTCTTCCGTCACACAAATCCGTCTACAACAAACTTGCAAATTCTCTAAAAAAAATCCTTGCTAAACATAAGGCCATTAGCCTTGAAAAAAAACTATATCAACTCTCAGCTGCAAATGGTAGCCTCTGGAACGAAACCAAACAACTTCTAAAATTTAAATAATCTTAACCCCTCTAAAACAACCCGACAACACCCTAACTATTACAGACTCAGAAAAATCAATCTTGTTTCAATCACACTTATCAAATATCTTCCAACCTCACGCTAATATATATGACCAACAACATCTAGACAATGTTAAAAAACACCTAGACTCACCATTACCTTATGGGCCTCCAATTAAATTTGTCACCCTAAACGAAGTGAAAAACACTTCTGAAATATCCAAATAAAAAATCTCCCGGTTTCGATCTTATAACCGTCGAAGTTACAAAATGCTTACCAACAAAAGCCATAGTCCTCTTAACATACATAATAAATGTAATTCTACGATTTTCCTTCCTTATGAAAATTTTCTCAAATTGTAATGTTTGCTAAACCTAACAAACCTCCAGACTCACCGGACTCTTACAGACCTATAAGTCTCTTACCTTTTTTTTCTAAAATTTGCGAAATACTAATTCTGCAAAGAATGTCTTCCCACATCAATAATGACAATATTCTTCCTCCATCTCAATTCGGATTTAGAGCCAAGCACAGCACAATCCATCAAGTACATAGAGTAGTAGACGCCATCTCAACTTCACTCGAACGAAAGCAATATTGCTCCTGTGTCTTCCTCGACGTTTCTCAGGCGTTCGACCGCGTTTGGCATGACGGTCTCCTCTTTAAACTGCGAAATTGCCTCCCATCACCTCTATTTCTGCTAATTAAATCTTACCTAACAAATAGATATTTTCAAACTCGCGTTGGCACGTGCATCTCAGAAATGTCTCTAATCCAAGCAGTAGTACCTCAAGGCGGTATTCTATCTCCCCTTCTATTTAACATATATGCCTCAGACCAACCCACAACACAAGACACCCTTGTAGCTGATTTCGCAGATGATAAAGCGATAATAGCAGTACATGAAAATCATTTAATTGCCTTGTCCAATCTCCAAATCACTTAGACCTTATTTCGCAATGGTACTCCAGATGGCGAATAAAACTAAACCACAGCAAGTCGGCGCACACGACTTTTACGCTAAAACACGGAATTTGCCCACCTGTATCTGTATACAACATTCCTATTCCGTCGTCTGACACCGTCAAATACCTAGGCCTGACCCTTGACAAAAGGCTAACTTGGAAACAGTACATACGATCTAAACGAATAACTTTAAACTTTCGTTCTCGCTCCCTCAAACACCTCTTATCAAAAAATAAATTCACTAAACTAGAAACTAAACTTCTCATCTACAAGTCGTTATTAAAACCCATCTGGACTTATGGATTACAGTTGTGGGGATCAGTCAAAAAAACTAATTTAAATAAAATCCAGACCTTTCAGAACATCACCCTACGCAGAATAGCAAATGCCCCACCTTATGTTTCCAATCTAACCCTCCATAATGACGTGCGGATGAAAACAGTCGAAGAAGAATCGATAATTTATTACAAGCGTTTCTTTTCACACCTAGCCAACCACAAAAATCCACTAATTAGGAATCTAAATACTGCAACTTTTCCTGAAACTCCTCGCCGTCGCCTGAAAAGGAGATGGTGCAGGGACCTCCTAAACTAATATTATAACCTCCAACGATCTATTCCTCGTTATTCACCTCACTCTTATTTCCCACTAGTTCGTAGCTAACTCATGCCAAGTATTGCTAATGGGTGACTTCTTACCCCCGTATTATCCAGTGTTTTTTTTTCTCTCTGCAAATACGCTTATTGTGATTTTAGTATAGATTGTGTAACTACTTATAAAAAAAAAATTTTTTTTTGAGAACCATTTAGCATTACCCAGAGGACACCACGAGGAGGCGTTGTTATATTTCTTTTAACATACCAAATATCACTTACTTGTAGATCTTATGCGTTAGGTACATTGTTTACTACACTACAAAAAAATGTTGTTTGACCTATTGCATATATCCTCAGTTTCTATGCATTTGGCCACGGTGGTAACACATTGTCGTTGTAGTACTTGGTTCCTGATAGGTTCATGCAGAAGATCATCATTTTTCTCCGTAGTATCATTATTTATTCCAAAGATTTTTAAAAAAGCTGTACATTTGCGGTTTATACATCGCCATTTTATTTCACCTGTAAATATCATTGGGCCGAAACTACAACCTACCTCTTTTATTACCTAAAATTTCCGGGCTGAGTTTACAATCTATCTACTCTATTACCTAAAATTTTCAGGGCCGAATTTACAACAAAAAAGGTAATCGCGTGTCCAGTTTACATTTGCCTGTAATAAGATATGATTTTGTATAATTTTGGTTTTAAGGGATAATTTTTAATGAGCAAAGACCAACATTTAATTAGTCGAATACTTTTAGTTTTTTTTTTATCTAGCTGTCGTCTTGCGGCTCTGTGTAGTGTGTTTTTATGTATCACATAGTCGTTGTTCAAGACGTTGAGTGCATTATCTAATTTACGTACATTTACAAACAAAATTTTTCGTTATTTGATTAAAATTTAAAAAAAAATTAAACTTTTACATTTTTACGTATTATATAAAAACTACTATAATAATATTTTAATATATAAAAAGTAGAAAAACAGACAATAAAATAGTTATAAAATTAATATCAAAAATTTTACATTTGATTGTGAACTTGTAACTTATTTTACGTATATATCTTTTTTTCTCATTTTAATAATTTTAATAATTTAAGACAAAACATATAATGATAGATTTTTAGAACATTTTATATTCTTACATACGGTGTCTATATGATTGTTAGGACGAGACTTGTTCACAGTAAAAATAATAATAAAATTATACAAAAATAGTCATTATCAGCGTCGATATAACTAATAGTCGTCGACAATATTAAATATATTATTTATGTACAGGTTTTATTTAGGCAAACCACTATCATTTAAATATTCAAGTATGATCACAATTCGTGTAATGTAAAAAATAATATTAATAATAATAATATTAACAATGAAAATATTTCTACAGCCTAGCGATCGTTATTGTTCACAAGTGTTAGACAAGATTGTCAGGTACGCCGTTAAACCCTATAGCGGTCTTCTTCACTCTAGGTGGCGGAACGGGCTGCTGCTGCTGTTGTTGTTGATCGGTGTTGCCGTTCTTCTTCTTCCCTCCGTCGCCGTCACCCTTGCGCATGCAAGAGTAAGACGATTCGGCCATCCGTCTCCACCATGATTTAACGTTGTCGCCGGCATGGTAAAAGTACCAATAGACGAATGCGAACACAACCGAGACAAAGCCCAGCGACAGCAACACAGTGGACACGACGAACACGGCTAGGCCGAAGCTGGAACCGGTGGTCGGCGGTAGCCCTCCGCCGCGCGATGAGTCCGGTATCTCGTTCGCGTCCTCGGGCTCCGTGCTCGACTCCTTGTCTGTGGCCACGGTGGTGCTCACGGTAACCACCGGAACCGTCGGGTACGGTGACGTGTCCACCGTGCCGTCCCTGTCGGACACCGAGATGTCCGCGCACGCCCTAAACTCCTCTTGAGGCCCGCAGCCCACCGCACCGGTGCCGTTCTCGCACACGCCCCAGTTGTTACCGGCAACGTACTTCCACTGCAACACGCACTGGCTGCACGTCATGCCATCCGGCAGCAAGTACCGCATCTCGTAAACCTTGTTTTCCGTGCCCGGGTAGTAGCGTGTCTCGTGGAACATATCGTCCGCGTCCTTTGTCCTCACCCTGCGCAATACGTGCTTATCCAGGCACGCCTGCGTGGCCACCTGCTTGGGCGCGTTGTTCGGGCACAGCCTAAACTCGAAGTACCCGCGGTGGTTGGCCGTCAGCTCGACGCGCACGATCATCGGCTGCCCGGTCTTGTAGCGGCGTACGATCACGCCCAGCCCGTACTTTCCACCGGCTTCGTGTAGTCTCGGCTGTAGCACACGCGAATAAAAGAGAAAACAAATTTAGTACGGTCGTCGATCACTTAGCATCGTATCCGCACACGCACTCTTGTGACAAGGGTGGACCACAAGTGCAATCCTTCCCCGGGGTCTTCGTGGAGCACGCTTATCGCAACGGCGATATTAACGAAAGAACTATTCGTATATGAATTGTAAATTTTAAAAGAATACAAATCCCCCCCCCCCCGTGTATGTCTGTAGACCGCCTTTACGAACAGAGTGGAATTTAAAAAAGGGGATGGGTGTCTGGGGTCGAGAGCAACAATCACCTCGAGTGACGAAATTTCGTGGATGGTAAGCCGTCAGATTTATAATTTTTCTCTTTGGGGAGGAGCATCTATAGTCGTCGTACAACTCGTTGTTCTACTCAAATTCTAAAAATCGCATAGGCCTATGAATTCCCCTGTACCCTTGTAAGAGGCGTCAATATTTTTTTGTAAAAAGTACAGCATTGACTACGAATATAAAAGAAGTCTTATACCTGTGGCGAATCCCATGGATCGCCGCATATACCGCATTTGCCACCATTCGTCTGGTATTGCCTTGTAAAGCCTCCACAATACAATTCATGGTCGTTGTAATCCGGTGGCGTGCTGAAGCCGTACCTGTTTGGAAAACGGAAGTATATTTATTTCGCTAGTTACCGAAGAATATTTTAATGACTAATGACGTTCATTGAATTTGATTATAAGACCTAAGATTATACACTGTTATATCACGTTGATCTAAAGTTTATACACATATATACTGGGAAGGAACTAGGGAGTGAAAGACGGGGATTCATCCCCGGGCGTAAAATTTTAGAGGGTGTAATTTTTGTAATTATTAACAATTAATTTGATATTTTTAACTTTGTTAAATACTATTATTAGATTAAAACTCAATAAGTATGATTGTATACTAATTATTAGAAAAAAATTCTTGAGAAGAGCATTTGATTATTGGTCCATGATAGGGCGTAATTTTAACATTTTCCCCAGGCGTAATAATTCCTAGTTCCACCTCTGTATATATATATATATATCTGTGGGTTTTTACTCACCTCCACATGGATGACCTGGAAGGTGGTTCGATAAGTCGTCCATGTCCATCGGATTCTTTGTATTCGGATGCCCATAGGATAAATCCGATTATTAGTTTTGATCCAAATAACATGATGATCTTTAACGAAAAATAAATATTTTAAATTAACAAATGATATTACTATGTTGTTAGTCTGCATTATGATAATTAACAACAGCAATATATATGTCCTAAAGAGATTCGATTTCATGGGCATTCTATATAAGTGTATGCGTTAATGATAATCTAATATTATATGCCATACCGTGTTAATTTCTTTTCAAATTTACCGAATCCATTGCTGCCAAAGAGTAAAGAGAGTGTTATTGATTCGACTCGCCCAAAGCAAAAAAAGTGAAAATCAAGTTATATGTTAATTTTAAACAACATTTAATACGTGAATGCGGTATATCAAAATTTAATTTAAACGCAAATCAATATGTATCACGTAAAATAACAACATGATGTATCGATTACTTAGTAACTTTCGGATTTAAAGTTGCCATGCTCGCTGCTTAACTATCTAAATTTCACGTCACAACCTCACAACCGTGCAGGTACCAGTATTACATGAATAAACTACTAACAAGTTGAGTATAATGCTATTATTTATAATGTTCCCTACATGATGTTAATATAAAATATCTACGGGATATCTTTGAATTTATTATAACTATCTCATATAATAAGATTTGTATACCTACCAATATAATTTAAATTAACGTTTTGAATTTTAACGTTACTAAATAATGAAAAACATTTAATTGTTCGTGACCTATACTCACTAGTCACTGTACTGTGACAGTGTGACATAAATAATTCTTCATGACTTGAGTATACAAACTTAATAACTGAAAGACATTTTTAATTAATTATAAATTAGTACATTTTTATCAATTGAAGGCTTACATAACAAGTTGCTTATTTAAAACTTATAATTAAATATGAATATTGTTGAGAAATGATTTGCAAGTAAATAGATTATTATAAATATTAAATGCTTTATAATTTAAATAGAATATAAATATTCATTTTAAGACTAAAAGGCTAGATAATATAATACTATAGATTAATTTGTTTTTCAACGTACTTCCACCTATATTTTATAAATTATAGCTCATATTTGATTAATTTTTTTTAAAAAATTGATATATTTATATAATCCTATGAGTAAGAATAACTATGAATCATTACATTTTAATATGCAAATAATTTATTAAAACCATTTAATATAATATCTAATAATAATAATAATAAAATAGGTCTTGTGTAGATATTTATTTTTCAAGATACCTATTCGTTTTGTTGTCTTTACACGAAAAAGATTCAAGACACTTATAAGTGAAAGATAAAGTTTATAGTTTATAATAAATAATCAGGTCCAATTTAGAATCAACACTGACTTACGGCATAATTGCTTGGGGTGCAGCAAACAAAAGTAATCTCAATAAATTACAAATTACACAAAATAATATCTTAAGAATTATCTTACATAAAAATCATGAGTTCCATGTCAAAAGCCTATATGAGAGTTTGAATATTCTAACAGTAAAAAAACTTTTTTACAAAATAACAGTTACTTTCTTAATAAAAAATAACCAAATCAAACCTATTTCCCATAATTTTAACACCAGAGGTAAATTAAATAGTATCAGTATTCCTTACGTAAATAAATCCGCCACTCAATCTTCGTTTCTTTATATTGGACCATATATTTATAATAATCTACCATATGAATTACGTGATTATACAAATTATGTCGTATTAAAACTTAATTTATCAAATTGGTTGCTACAACAAGCTGCTGATATTTCATTTGTAATATAATCATCATTTCAATAATAACTTATATTTTTATGTTTAAAATTATCTTAAGTATATAGCTGTTAAATAACAAATGTGTTAAAACTTAAAATAAATTGTTAAGACTCATGGGCCTCCACACGAGCTTGCTCAGTGAGGCCCATTAACATTGTACACTATATTATGTAATATGTTTATTTTTATGTAATATTTTGTATATTTGTAAATAAATAAATAAATAAATAAATTTAGTATATAGAATAATTAAATATTCAATATATGCAGCGTAAATCATACGTTAACATATGTAAAAAATTCATAAAATATCTATACTAATTAGGAAAATACTAGATGATGATGGTTAAGATTTCTCTCCATTATTAAGAATTGATATTTTGTGTTTATCTTAAATGAATTATTTTTGTTTCAGGTTAATAGAATTTGATTCTAAAAACGTAGTGCGTTGTACGTTACGATATTATAACATCAGTTTCTCTTTGATTGAATTTACACAATTGTTATGGTATTATTAGTTTTACCAGATGGAAATGCTATAGATTTTGTGATTGTAACTTTTATTTATTTAAAAATAGTTTTGATGGTGGTTGTATCCTTCCTGAAATATATGTACTTAACATCCCATTGTGCAAAGTTGGATTTTACAATTGCATAGGAGCGAGAAGATAAAAACATGACAGTAAAATTCCAAATATCCAAGTAGATTTCATAGTAATTATTTAATTCATAGAAAATTATTTTCAAACACATGCATGGAAGCAGCATAAATATACTACGACTTAATGGAAAAATTTGACGTATTAACGGTTGGGGTTTTTAACAGTTGGTTTGCTAACCCCTATATATTTTATGGAACGTGAAATTAGTTGCATAATAATAGAACAGCTATATAAAATTAGAAAAAATAACGTATGTTTAATGAACATTGTTCATGATAAATTTAAAATTGATAAAATTATAATAACTGATATAATTTTAATAAACTTAAATTTTATTGAAATTATCTTTATTTATTTAATCTATTGATTAAAAGAAAAAAAAAATGGCGAGTCTAATATCTTTTTACTATAATAATTAACCAAACTTTTTTTGTGTGGTAGTTTATATTAATAGCTTATATATATATACAAATTAGAAATTAATTTTATTGTTCTTGGAATATATATATATCTCAAGACTATAAGTCGCTGAGTTTCTGTAACAAAGAATGGTCGTGAGAAATGTTAGATCTATTTGATCTGTAGTGGTTTCGCTCTTCTTCGTGAGAATAACACGTTCAATTATGAATAATAATAATAATAGTAAGTGTTAGAATTCTCTATGAACGTATATCTATAATACGTATTTAAAAACGACTAAATAAAATAAGCCTTTACAATACTATTTTATAAATAATATCAGACAAGTTTTAGGGCATGGGTATATGATCAGTCACTGACAGTTTCGATTGAGAATTCCATTAAATTATATAACGTTTCCTCAATTACGTTCTTAATTAATTGTTTGTTTCATTTAACTTATACTAAGTGCAGTCGTATATAAATTCCAATACTAAGATTTAAACATAGACGTAAATAAATGAGAGGGGACCTCACGAGTCCTTGTCCTTCTCCTAGTCATCTTAAACCCTTCCTAAGATATGTATGTGTTGAGTATAAAACGAAGTTCTATATAAATAAATAAATTGAATTTAGTAATGATATTATTATTAACTTGTGCTACAATTTGAACATCAAATCGATACATTTAAACTATTAAAAAAAATTACCGAACTCACGAAGCATTTTGGGATTTACGTTAGTAAAAATTTAAAAATTGAATGTCATAGTTATTTAAATTGATATTTGTTATTGTTGGCGAAATTATTTTACACGCATTCACAAGTATACGCCCACAGGCCAATGTAGTAAAACATCCTCTTTTACCATATTGTCTGTGTTATATGTTCTTTATGATGATGAAATGTATATTTTCTGTCTTGTAACCTATTGAATACATAATGTGTATGTGAGTCTGTATGTGTGTGTGTATATGAATGATGTAGGTATACATAAAATCGCGTGAACCGATTTGACGACGTTACTGTATCATTTATCGTTCGTCATTGTTAGTATTTTCTACTATGCCGTTGACACTTTACATTTGTCAACTAGCGATTATGCTCTGAACCCACACGTCTTCATGTGTAATATCTATCGTGCAATGACTGTTAAAAAGATAGGCCTAAAAGTAATATTTAAATAAAGACTTGTTGCACTACGTGTATAATAATAAATGCCTTTTCATAGAGTATAAAAGTATGCATTCATTTTTAAATCTTTAGGTCGATCACGAACACCAAAACTTTGCAATTTTGCACATAAACTATTAAATACGTATTCACTTAATGCATACATAATAAAAAAGTAAATAATTACTTTCTAGACATCATTATGTTTTTTTTTTAAAAAAAATATGAAAATTATTAATTTTGTAATAGTGATAAACAGTCTAATGAGCTAGTGCTCCCTTCCGAGATGTTAGTACAATGTATTGTTCATAATTGTTGTACATAGCGGCACCAAACACGACTATGAACTGGGGAAAATTCCCCAGAACTATTTATGGGTAGGTGATAAATGATCAGTCATCATTGGTATTTAATATTTTAAGATCATCATAATGTAACAATAGTGGTAAGTGTAAAGAATAGATAATTATAGTAATTACTAACAGTATGGCAGTCACCAAATTTATAAATTAAGTACTGTTCGAGTGTAATTAACTAAAAATTTTTTAGTAGGTGGGTCTACATCAGCATTTTTCCCCATAAGATGAAATATAGATCGGCGCCACTATTGTTTTTTTTTTTATTAAAACACCTAAGTATTTTTTTAATGAATAATAGGTAGGTAAATTTGTGTGATATTTTGGGTAGGTACAAATGTGGGTGAAGTACAATTTATTTTTGATGAGGTTAAATTTGATACAAATGATTGTTTCCCATTATAGTAGCTTACAATTTTCAAACTAAGTTCGTATAATTTATTCATATTTATTTAACCATCAAAATATGGTTACTAGTTTATTAAACAATATAAAATAAAGCGTGAAGTTTATAAGGAAACATTTAGATGATTAAACAATCATGTCGAATTCCTTTTAGTATATATTTTGTGACATATTCACATGAAATATATACAATAATTTTGATGAAAACAAAATTATAGCTGGCAATTAATAATGAATAAATGAAAACATTTTTTATTTTTTATAACGTTTATTAATTTTAAATTTATGAAATAGAGAATACTGTAAATACAAAGAAA